AAGTGAACAAACTAGATAAAATGATAAAAGTGCTATCAGCGATTTCTTGGAAACTAGAAACTCGGTTAGTGCCAACATTTGCAGGATCGTGAAGTCACTGTTACTAGGGCTGATATAATTAGCAGGAGAAAGGGTTGTTAAAAATATTTCAAAACACAAACGTATGACAAAAATCCTAATTAATTTGTTAATTATTCGCAACCACATTGTTATTGTTAGCAAATCATTTTATATTGACGTTTTTTTTTTTAAAAATAGGTTGAGTCATTTCATCGTAATCCCTACCCATACCTCTGCGTTAAAGAGTTCTCCGTAATTTATAAACAAATTGAAAAATTGTTTTATTTACGCGACCAAATCAGATCTCAGTCCTCTCCGGTATTTCGCCTTTAATTTTAGTACCGCCAAAATAAATAAGACGCGCTGCACGCCAGCGGCGTAGGAAGTACGAAATTCATTTGGGTCGTTGATTGTCTTTTCTCAAAGTGTAGTCAGAAAATGATTCGTATTTACCCTGTTTGCTATAAACGAAAGTTTGTTGATCATTGATTGTTTTTATATGTAATAATTCAATATTAAAAATCTCCTTTACCTAAAAAATATGATCAAATATAATTATTAAATATTTTTGATTCAAATCAGGCCGATCATTTTTGCAATGTACATTTTTGTTAATAGAAAAGTAAGTATACAGCTAAACAACTGCCGACAACAAATAATGAAAACAGAAGTAGGAAAATTTGTAGGCCACTTAGAAATTAAAAAAAGAACTGTTGGTAATAACTATCCAAAAGAAATTCGGGATTTGATTGCAGAAAAAAGAAGAGTCAAGAAAATATAGCAGCAAACCAAAAATCCCGAAAATAAGAATATCTATATTATACAATACCCTCTCAACAACGAAACAGAGAGAAACCAAAACTGAAAATTTAAATATAGACACGTCAATTCAGAGAAAAAAGTTAGGTAGCGTGATTTTCCATATTGCTCTTCCTCCTAAATCATGTAGCACGAACACTTGGAGCATTTGTATTAATCACAGTTAAAAATCGTAAACAGAAACGAAACTCTCTCCAAGAATATAAAGTAAATATTGCCAGGTTGATATGCTTTGCCTACCCACCAGCTTCAGAAAACATGCTGGAATGTTTGCCTTTCCAAACATTTGTTGATTAACTTTAAGATCAAGAGATACCAAAAACATTTCGTATAGCCCTTCACAAGACATTGGTCGACTTCTTGTCCGCTGCTCTTGAGTAGGAGGCAGTTGAGCAGGCTTCTGGTGAATACACTAAAGTGAGGACTGTAAAAGAGAAGATAAACTTGATCAACTGGTTAACATGATAAAGAAGCTCACTGACAAGAAGATGAAAACTATCAGGTGCTGGAATTGCAGTGAACTGGGACACGTACGCAGTTAGTAGAAATGCCTTAGAGTCCCTACAAATCAAGAAAACTAGAGCGGGTCGGCCTAGGGGGAAGGGGCAGCTTATAAAGATCTTCTCATACTAATAGCATCTTTCAAATGTCGTAATGATTAGGGTTTACGTAGACGGCGAAGTAAATGGTAGAGTGTATGCACTGTTTATGGACACTAGAGCAAACAAGACCATTATATGACGAACAACCGTAAGAAACTTTTACCATCAAGGTTCAAAGTTCACTCATACTGTTATTGTCGCTGATAATGAAGATGTGTTATATTAGGAATAGATGTAATGAACTTAGATAACTTCCAATTGGATTTTAAGAACAGAGTGATTAAAACTGGTACCAAAGCGGTATTTCTTCATCCATATGGGGATGGGGAGAGTATCGTGCCAGTAGCTGTGCACGAAGAAACGGTGGTACCATTATAATAACACGGCTTCAAGAAATTATGTCATGATAGAAATCTGGAACCATGATGAAGAGGTTGATCGGGGAATTTTGATCGAAGAGGGGTTGATTACACTTACTAAAAAAAATTCAAATACGTCTCAAAAACGTTAATGATCCCCCATTTATCATCAAGAGAAAGACCAGAATCGAAACTTCCATAATTCGGCAGACGATAACTTCTGATAATTCCAAAAACAAATTCAAGCAGTTGCTGGTCAATCTCTGAAATAATTAGAGAAAAGGAAAATAAAGGAATTCCTTCGAGAATATCGTTACATTTTTGTACCAAAGGGAGGAAAAACAAGAAAAAATTCTGCTGTAAAATATAAAATCGACACTGGTGGTTCCAGACCCATTCGTTAATCAGTTCCGAGGTTTTACCAAAGGCAAAGGGAGAGAGGATGCTGAAAGGATATAAAATGGAGCAAGACAGGGTGATAGAACCTTCTATCAACCCATAGATTCCTCCGGTAGTCCTGGTCCAGAAAAAGAAAGGAACTGTGTGGACTATACCGTCAGTTGAACAATGTTACCAATCCTTTGCCTCAAATCAATGATACCTTGGACACATTGGCCAGAAGTAAACTATTTTCTTCCTTAGACTTGAAGTCTGGATATTGGCTGGTACAAATGGATTCAGAAGATAAAGAAGAGACAGTTATTATCACCGAATTTGGATTGTTGCAATTCAATGTCATACCATTTGAAGTATATAATGTTTTCGAGACATTTGAAAGACTTATGGAAAATATATTAAGAGGATTATCCTGGAAAACATGTCTGGTGTATTTAGACGACATCATAGTCTTGGGGAAGACATTTCATGAACATCTAAAAAACTTAGAAGATGTTTTTAAAAGACTTCAAGTTGCCCAGCTGATGCTAAATTCCAAAAAGTGCCAACTATTGCAAAATAAAGTTAATTACATGGGTCATATAGTCAGCAAGGATGGCGTAGCTGTAGATAAGGCTTCTATCAAAGAGTGGCCACAACCAACTGATTAACATCAAATAAAAAAAATTCTTGGGCTATGTATTTACTACCGAAGATTGATCAGGAAGTTTGCAGATATTGCTAAGCCAATAACGCGACTTACAGAAGCAGTAAAAGAATTCTGCTGGGAAGAAGACTGCCTTTGAAACATCAAAGAAGCATTTAACAGTGCCAACACTAGGCTACCCACTACCAGAGGGATAATTTATTCTGCATACTAATGTGGGAATTGGAGGAGTACTTTCACAAATTCAAAAGGGGGAAGAAAGAGTACTGAGTTATTTTACGATACCCAAGCTACAGAAGGATATTTCAAGGAAGGCGACAAAGTTTGGCTCCAAAACCCAAAAAAACAAGAGTTATTCTTCGAAGCTTCAAAGGTCTTGTAAACAAAAACTTATAATCTGAGTAATTTGAGGCATTAGGAATGAAACACATAGATGCAATGCCCGTGGCTTTACTTTTATTAATTTTTTTAATATTATTTAGAATTTAAAAATGTACCGGTAAGTAACTTACAAAGATAATTTATATCTTATTGTCGTGCGATCCCCTAAAGCCGACTCTATTCTTCATTACATTATTATGTTTCTTACCCCTTTTCTTGGTATTTGGCTAAATTCCAAGAACACCAATAACAACGTACGTTTAAAGATCGTTTCTGAAAATCTTCTAGATGTACACCACTGGTCGAAATGGCGGAAATATCTTGTTAATCTCAATGTACATAACATTCAGCTTGACAAGAAAAACTTTTATTAAGTAGTGTTGTCTTAAACGTGACGTTCGTATTGAAAAAAATTTGGAAATTTTCCGATAAAGAAAAAATGAAGTTGCTTATTCTGTGTTGTGTATTGTTCATATTGGAATATCCGAATTGTTCAGACGCAGACGCCAAAAGAGGAGGTTCAAGAGGAGGAGGATCCAGATCGAAATCTTCAAGTAATTAAGATTTTTTCTACGCTTTAATATTAGGAAGCTGTATTAGATAGATTGTGCAGAACAGGGTACCGCAATGCGCTGTATTAATGATGACGTAGTTTGTGTTCAACTGAAAATGACAGTAGACTTTTAAAAATAAAAGGTTTACCGAGGTATTCATTAAAATATTATTTTAAAGATTGTATTTAATAAAACAAAAATAATTTAAGTTGGTCTCATGAAATTCGAAAATTTTAGTCTTGACTTTATTTGACCACCCAGTAACTTTTTTTCACCACCCTCAGAAACATAAATATTTAAAAAAAAATAAAGGCCCTGTGCCTACTGTCTCCAGGAAGTTTATAATGACTAATTTTGAACTATATTTGACCACTGTGGTAATAGGAAGTTGTAAAGAGTGAGGAATCTTTTAATGAAAGGCTTTATTATAAAAATTACAAACTTGACAATTTAACAAATATACAACTTCACGTTGAGTAAGATCAATAACAATTTCTAAAAACAGGAACAATTCATTTTCTAAGCTCGAACTGGTATGTGATCTGTCACATCACACACCACCCATTGGATTAAGGAGTAAATTATAGAAAAAAAGACAGTCATATGCCCGTGGAGCTATATTTTTTGAAATATTTTTTGCTATTTTTTTTTAACCCAAATTTTTCTTTTTTTCTTTTACTATTACCGATAAACATTGGCTATTAGTGGCAATTGCTGTATCTTTGGTTCTCTGAGAGATATCAGAATCGGGCTACGGCCAATTTTACGAAGAAAAAGTTGTTCTATCATTTTTGTCTTATATTTCGAATTTTGAAGAAAACTCAAAAACGGTTAAAGAGAGAAACACACCAAATTTTAAACTTACCCTTTAATCCACCCTATGGTGAGCTGATTAGATTTGGGGCATAGTCGGAACATCTGAAGGTTAATTTATAGGAGGTCATTTGGAGAAGAAAATTCTTCCAATAAAAGTTGCTTGTGAAAAAATTATTTTCATACAAAATTTCAAGTTTGAGGCCAATAAACAGGAATGCCCAATAAAAATCCGATAAAATATATACTTCGACGCTTGACTACCCCCTAGAATAATTACAATGAACCCCAAGGAGTTTGTAAATGCAAAAAATACAATTTCCAATACATGGAAATTATTGTGACAAATTTATTTCGAAATTATCTACAGGTCATTCGAGCTGGTGGTCAAGAGGTACTAATAAAAAGTCTTCCAATTCAAAATCAAATAATCCAGCACCGGCTCCGGTTCCAGTACCGGCTCAAGCACCCAAACCGTCGGCCCCCAAGCCTGAAATCAAAACCAACGCGCATTTACAGCAATCTGGTTACACCAATCGGCAGTCTATTGGGTGGAATGTACCTGGCACCAAGCCTGATATCAAAACGAACGCGCATTTACATCAATCTGGTAACACCAATCAACGGCCTATTGGGTGGATTGTACCTGGAACCAAGCCTGATATCAAAACTAACGCGCATTTACAGCAATCTGGTAACACAAATCGTCAGCCTATTGGGTGGAATGTACCAGGTACCAAGCCTGGTACCAACCAACATAGTCGTATAGAAGGTCAAGGTAAGATATTTGTTTTTATTGATCGGAGGTGAAAAGGTGAAGATAAAGTGTTCATCAAATATAATATTTAATGACATATTTAGGTATTAGATTCGCATTAGATTATGTAACGAATTAAAAAAAAGGAAATTGATTTTTTTGTGGAAGATGAATTAATATTAAAAATTAAAGAAAAGAAAAGGGGGAAGAGAAGAAAATATATAGAAATTTTATGAGAAAGAAATTTAACAAAGAAATATTTTTAATTTTTAACTGTCAAAAAAAAGCAAAAGAGCAAATTGAACTCACAACTAGCGCAAAGGGAGTGGATTATCACTGCTTCGGATTGACAGATGAATTTCGCTACTAGTAACTAGTACGAAAAGGACGGCAACAAGAAATAAGGACGCCAGGTATTTTAGAGACAGAAAATACCAACTGTACCTTCTGTGAACCTGAAAAATTGGATAATGTGCACAAACATTGTGGTTCAATAGATAAATAATAAAAATATTAAATAAGTAGTATTTTATTCCTTTAACCTAAGATGCAATCTAGGACTCTATGGTGATAGGTAAAAGAAATGTTACGAAACTTCCCTTCTCAACTTCCACGACGTCGGCTGAGCTGGGCGGTCTCTCTGGAAGCAAGCAGGGCCTGGTGTTAGGCAGGTGTTCTGAGATCCGTGGTGGTGCTCTTCTGCAGCTGGTGGTGTTGTTCTTCCTGCTGAAAGAAAGGAATCCTACCGTTCTTAAATTCGTTCTTTAGAAACTTGTTGGTGCTCTAAATCTTTTCCAGAGTGTTCTAATGTGGGCCTAGATGGATCTAGGTGGGCCTTGTTGTTGTTAGGCCCAGTGAAATCGATGGCTTTTAAAACAGAAAAGAAAGATATCTCAAATCAATTTTGGTAGAGAATTTTGGTTTCCCATACTCGTTCGGTCAAATCGATCGCGTACCTGTCCGAATTCTTTATTTAGAATATTTAGATTCAAAATTTAATTTTTGAAGATTGAGATACGAGGGGACGGTAAAATTTACCGTAACTATTAGGTATTAATATTTCGCCTTCCCAAATTTATATTTTGGCCACTTTAATTATTCACACTTCTTGTAGGTTTTAGTTCAATTGCAACAAACTTTTATTATTAGCAAAACTAGGAGTTCAATTATCTTTTTTCCTGTGTACGAAGAAGGTGCACGTAGAAACCCTAGAAGAAATCATGAAAAAACTAGAACGAGAGTCAGTTCAGGTTAGTATCAATTTTCGGAGTACCGCAATGATTCACCTTAAGACTGCTCTTCTTCTATATGTATGTTATGTTGGGAATGGGGTGTTAATACACTGCGACCTAAAAGATCTATTGTGCTCCCTTCTGTCGCCAATGCACTAAGGAAATGTCTCAATACCTATAACGACCCTTCCAATCCTATTTTTTCAAGGAAGTGTAAGATTTGAAGTGGCTTCAAGTTAGGTAAATCTCCCTCTTCTATTTGATAGCCTCCTAGTTATAGTTCCCTTGGATTCTGGAATGCTACACATTCAGTTAGGATGTGAATGGAAGTTTCGTCCTCCTCCTCACAGAATCTGCACTCACTATCCTCTACTATTCTCAGTTTACTTAGGTGTCCTATTAGTCGGCAATGCCCGGTAAGGATCCCTGTTACAATCCGTAGCCTGTTCTTGCTCAGGCAGATGCAGGCTTCCGATCTTTTCTGGTTATATTCACCCAAAAGTATCTTGGCCTGTATCAGCTCCAAGAGATTGTTCCAATTATCGGCAGAACGGCTCAGGTCCTACAAAGGGTGTTTGAGCCCCTTTCCTTGCAAGACTATCTGCAATATCATTTCCCTGTACCCCGTTATGTCCCGGGACCCTAGTGAGAGTAACTCTATTTTTCTCGCCTAGCTCATTCAATTGTTCTAGACATCTCCAGACCATTTTTGAGCTGATTACGTAAGAGCTCAGCGTTCTGTATGTATAAAATCGGTGTTGTTTTGACGGTTTTTCTTTGAAAGAACGTTGTTTATATTTTAAAATGCCTGCCATTAAATTTAGTTGTAGCCATCATTGTTTTTTAAAGTACTGTGCTACAAATATTTGACATTCTTGCCATTAATTGTTCAATGATTCCTTGTTCGCTCTTTTTAGGTGTTTTTTTTTTTCACCTTTATGTCATTATTTTGTTTGGTTCTTCAGATATAAAGCTTATTTCTTGTATAAATTACTTTCTTTTCTAATTTGTGTAATAAACTGAAGAAACAATTATGGAACATTATTGTCCCGTTATGTGGGTTGCCCAATTTTTCCAAGTCAATTTTGACCCATCTCTAGGATCTTTTGAATTATTTTAGAGGGTGCTTAACCTCAAACTCAAACGTCGATACGTTATTTTAAACGTCTTTGGATCTTAATTTTTCAACTTCGAAATTCGTCCCAAAACTCTTGATTTTCTATAATTTACCCATTGAAATTATTTTAGGAAAAAAATCTAAGAGGTGGTCAAACTTGATCATAAATTGATAAATCCTATGGTGCACGAAGTTTTGAATAATATAAACTTTTTTTTTATTTATATTTCTGAGAAATGGTCAAAAAAAGTTACTGGTTAACCAACTATGGTCAAATGCATCTACAAACTATATAAAATTTTTGAATTTCGAGGGGCCCGAGTATTACACAGCTTCTTTAAACTACATTTTTTTATGACCTGTCAACAATATTAAAAAAAAGAGGTAAAAGCGGATTAAAATAACAGAACGACTTCTTGTATGGTAACGGCAAAGCCGCCACCAAAAATTTTTAACCCATACCTGGCTACGCCGACCGGCATAGACTCCAACGGCCTGGACACAGCTCAAATTGAAAAAATTACAAATATTAGATAAGTACCGACATGCCGTAATTAATGCACAAGCATCATGAAATAATCTAATCTAACCTAACATAACCTAACCTAACCAACCCTCCTCACTAGCATCTGGCCAATGAACCTTGTTTGCAACTTTTAACGAACGTGTCTTTATCGTGGGCATTTAATAATAAGACTATATACAATAAGACAAAGCAACGACTTCTTATAGGGTGGCGGCCAGCGTTGGGTTTACTAGTACAAATGTACTAGATTCAGTACATTTCAACCATCCATAAATGCTATTAGTACCACAAAAGATAAAAGGGTCTAAATTTAGTACATTTTAAATATTTTGCTGGATCTTCTTGAATAATGCATTCCATGATTTCTAATTTCTATGCTAGACAGTAGACACTTCCAATGCTATACTTTATACCAGAGATAAGGGACTGTGAGTCTTTATATAAAGGACATAAAGATAAGAGGTACATGCTTAACAACGACCAGCTCGAACGCAGTTAACATCTGACCTACTACGTGTCGCTATCATCGATATTAAACAAATAACGTAGAAGGAAATTTAAAAATCTGATAAGTATTGATTGCATTTTCATTTTCTGGTAAATAAATTTAAACATTGTTAATTACGGTAAATTATTTATTGAAAAGAATACTACATTTACAGTCTATTACCGATTAATTATTGTAAATCTATTGACATAACAAATATTTTTTAATTTTTTTATTTATCAATCGATATTAAGATATATTTTTGTTACACCTATTTTATTTGTATTTACCAACGTATGGATAGGTATATTTTTGTTATACCTATTTTATTTGTTTTTCCGCTTAAAATGAACTTGTTTTCTCATTTGAAATTTACCGCCAAATTTAGTACGTTCTAGTACAATCACGATCTGAATTTCAGTACAAGCTGTTGCTACTAAAAACTCAAAAAAAAATTAATCCATACCTGGCTACGCCGACCGGCATAGACTCCAACAGCCTAGACACAGCTCAAATTGAAAAAAAAAGTATTTTTTACAAATATTAGATAAGTACCGACATGCCGACGCACAATCATACAATCATCATGAAATGAAATAAAAAGACAGATGACTGTGATTACTACAAATGTTTTCACTTCGGGATCCAAATTCACCTGCTGGCCAGACACTATATGTACTTTTTCAGCCAACTTTCATTAACCCAATTATTATATGTTTTCTTACTCGATTTGGCAACACCGCATTTATAGAAACTAGAAACGTTAATAGTCATTGAAAATAATTTACTATTTATTTGTTTTTCTAACAAACTAAAAATGAAAAATAAGAAAATTTGATCGTTTATGAAAAAATTTGGTATGGTTTATTGCTCCTTCAAATCAGTGAAAATGGTGTGTTTCAAAGTGTCTAGAAACTTTCTATAGTTCAATAGTTATATCCGCCGTTCGAGTGTCGGCGTATAATAGCCAAATTTGGAAGCCTTTTGAAGTATCTCTCATGTTTTGCGATTTGCAAAAGTGATTAAATAAGTAGTCTTATATCTCCTAAAATTGCAATATATACGTACCTACAACGTTCGCAACCAATTTTTTCACTATAGATTTACATATGCATTAAATTAACCAGTTTCTACAATAATTATTATTATATTAAGAAATAAATAAAACCCTAGCAAATGTATGTGTTACGCCCATGGTTAATATCTACATTATTTTTATAAATACACATGCGCACGAGAGTGCGTGTAAATATTTACCCTGGAGGAAAGATTATTAATATTTACTATCTAGCTAAACAACTTTTTTTCTAAGACACCTAAGTAAAGTAATCTGTTATTAATAATATTTATAATAATATAATACAATTAAAATAGTTTTATAAGTATGCATAGAAATGTTGATGTTTCATTGACAATTTAGACCATTTGTTATTACTAATCAAATATAGTTTAAATTTAATACTGATAAAGAGTAGGTACCTACTATTATTAATTAGTAAAAACTCAGAAATCAATATTTTTGAGAACGTATCTTACCAGCAGAGAAACTTATTTATCTAACAGTTAATTCTTCAGAAAATTATTAGATTTTAATCGACTTACCTATAAAGATCTTCTTCTAGGGACTTCTGCTTGTTCTTATTCCAATGCTTGTTCTTGTTTGCAGGCGAAGGGAGCATTGAAACATTTTCACAATTATTTAAATAACACCTCATATTAGGCATACACAATATTATTATTAAAACAAAATTACCGACGTTATGTTAAATTAATGAAAACGTAATCGTCGAGTTTATTTTTGAATTTACAGTTCCATGAAAACTGTAAAATATTCCAAATCTGCACAATATTTTTAAAAACAATAAACGCGTTTGGAAATTGGCCAACTGATTTCAAATATTTAAATAATAATTTTATAGGAACTATATCATTTCAACTATTCCCCTCGTCTGGCCGGGAGACGCGATAGGGGAAAAGGCTTTACTTTTCAGCCAATGAACGCTTGACATTAGCTTGCGTTTGAATCTTGACAGTTTAAGCGTGCGCGCTAGATTTTTGGTAGTGGCTACTAAGCCGATTTAATGACAAATAGTGTGGTAAAATGAATAAAAATAAAATTTTTAACTCAAAACAGTTAAAAATAAATTTGTTCTAAAGTAGTAAACCATGGCCGATACAGATAATACGAGGGTAGATCAAAAAGTACCCGTTAAAAAGAAAGAGGCAAGTTTTTCAAAAAAAAATATTTCTATTTTTCAACGTAATCTCCTTCACTTTTCCCAATATTTCTGCCATTTATTTAACCCCTCCAAAAAATATGATTTCTCGAACTCCGCAAAATACGCTTCAGTCTCGACGATAATCTCCTCGTTAGAGCTGAATTTTTTCCCCCGAGCGTTTTCATGTTGGGGAATAGAAAAAAGTCGCATGGAGCCAAGTCGGGCGGGTACGGTGAGTGCGGCAGCAATTCATAATGCAGTTCTTGCAATTTGACCGCGACAATTCTCGATGAATGTGCTGGTGCGTTATCGTGGTAAAACAGGACTTTTTTTTCTTAGCCAAATGAGGCCATATCTCCTTCAATTTTGCATCGAATCGGTCCAATAATTCACTACAGTATTGCCCTGTGATCGTACTTCCTTCATGCAAAAAGTCGATGAGGATTATTCCCTTGGAATCCCAAAAAATCGTGGCCATGATCTTTCCGGCCGATAGGACCGTCTTTGCTTTCTTCGGAGCAGATTCACCCCGAAAAATCCATTGCTTTGACTATCGTTTGGTCTCTGGCGTAAAATAATGTATCCAGGTTTCATCAACAATGACGACTCGACGCAAAAACTCCTGCGAATTTTGATTAAAGAGCTCCAAACATTGCTTCGACATTGACAGCCATATCCGCTTGTTGTCCACCATAAGCAATCGCGGCACCCATCGGGCCGGTACCTTTTTCATGTTTAACTTATGCAAAATATTAATTATTGCTGTTCCGTATGATACGCCTACGGCCTCTGCTACTTCTCGCACTTTCGTTCGGCGATCTGCGACAATCATGTCTTGGACCTTTTTAACGATTTCCTCGGTAACAACGTCTGCCAGGCGACGTTTTTCAAATGCACACGGCACAGCAAGTAGAGAATACCAAAACGTTCGTGCTATATGCTTTTGTCAGTTATTTGTCGCGTTTCTAGAAAGACGCGCTAAGCGCTTTCAAAAACGTTGGTTAGAGAATAAGCCCCCAGGTCCTCCCTTTTGTGGCGAACTTTTAAAAAAACGTCCTCGGCTAAAGCTACTGGCCCCTGTTTAGAAAAGCTCGCTAGAAGGACCCTCTTTTTGGAAATTTCACAAAGAAAGGACCTGATTATATAAAAATGCTTGATATTCGAACCTGATCCCCTGACGTCACCGTTGTCACGCTTTTTCCTTTTGTAAATCTAGCAAGCCTAACTATCGACCAAGTTTATAGAATCACTGATATCATCGAGAAGTCTCTAGAAGAAGAAAACATTGCTCCACCGTCTTTTTGGATGTGGCTCAGCTGTCGACAAAGTATTGCATGGAGGTCTGATAGTAGATAAACTAGTTCCGTTACACCAGGCTAGAGTAATGATTGCTGTATATATCTATCACAGTGTGTTCGGGTCACATCCCCATCTTTTACCAGCAGCGTTCCTGCATACTATTAGAGCTTTTGTGGCCTTATTTACTACTCCCTTCTCATGTATGTTCCAAAGAAGTGTTACTGTCCAGGGTTAAGCCTAGATATTTGACTTCTTTTTCCTATTTTATATCTATCCCGTTTAATTTGACGGTTTTGGGATTGAGTTTTCTCTTCCTTGAAAAGGCTACTAGGCGACGTTCTGTTGGGGTTTATACTAAGTCCCACCAAGCGGCACCATTTTTTGGTGTATTTTAGTCCTCTTTAGGATATTTCCAAACTTGCCTCTAGCATAGTATAACCTTGGCAGTGTATGAGAGAGAGAGAGAGAGAGAGAGAGAGAATATATGTTTATTGTCCAAGTTAAAATACTTATTGATAAACACAATATTGTACAAATTACAAATAAATAAATAAATAGTCATTAAAATATAAACAAACATTATTATAAATTAACATTAATACATACATCTAAAATAAAATAGAACAAAACAAAATAAAACACATATCACAGTGTCTCGTCATTATAAAATTCTGTAATATTATAATACTGCCTAGTTAACAGAAATCTTCTGAGCAGCTTTCTAAAACAATTACATCTGTCAAAGTATGTGATAGCTTATTGTACATCTTGATACCATTGTATATAAAAGAGTCTCTTATAAGTTCAGTTTTGGGACTAGGCAACTTCAAGTTGCCCGTTTGGCGAGTTACACGAGATGTATTCGATTTATATTTCGACTTGTTCTTATGGATCATGAAACAAGTTTCTAAGATAAATAAAGATGTGCATGAAACTAATCAGTGTGCTCCACATAAGAACCTTATTGCCCGTTTCTGCATGATAAAGACTCTGTTAAATAACTCGGCAGAACAGACTCTCCAAAACTGAACAGCATAACGTAAATGGGAGTCAACTAACGCATAATATGCAGTTTTTGCTGCACAAACTCCTAATTCATGAGAGGTGGTTCTAATGGCATAGCAACCTGATGCGAGTTTTTTAAAAGTGGATCCACATGAGATTTGAATTTTAAATCCATGTCGATATTTAAACCCAAAGCCGAAGTTAGGCTCCACATTAGTGGGGATGCACATTCTTTGGTTGTGCAGATGGAGATGGTGTCCTGCTCTGTGTCTCTGCAGTTCATGTGGATAATAACTCTGTCACCCATCTGGACGTGGTGCTATCTGCCCTCTATAGGCGAGTGCTCTTTTGAAAGATTTGCGCGGCGTGTTATCAAACGCTTCTTGCGACAGTCAGCTGTACCAGAGCAGTTCCTGTCGATATTCCTGCTCAGTACGGGTGCTGGCTGTGGTGGAGTGGCAAGATTTCTGTTCGGATACGAATAAACATTATTATTATGTTATATTAATTTGAAAAAATACTGGTTTTATTTCCAATATTTTTTTTGATATAAGTATCCTGTATGTATAAGTCGCTAGTGTGAGGAAAATTGGGTCCTTCTTGTAGAAATAACTTGAGAGTAGAAAACGAAGTGTTTTTATTAATCACACACGAGGTACAAAGATTGTTGCTGTTGTAGATAGAACATAGAACTTCTTAACTAATACGTACAATCAATTTGATCGTTGCTAATTTGAATTCATTTGGTTATCAAGAGCTTGAATATTAACGTCTGTAGTACGTCTAGACCGTCTCGTTCAAAAAGCTTACCTCTTTCTGGACTCGTTGTCATAGACCATCTTGTTTTATATTATCTGGAGCCGTATTGAGTGTCCGGTGCATAGTTGACGCAATAGATATTTTGTACCGTAGTGGGAGGTGGTTCTGGCGAATGAGGTTCTTCATGACATAAAAAATACGTCACTTGGGTGCGTTAGCTATGCACCGGACACTCATAAGGTCCCTTTTCTAAGAACTGCTTGAGAGAAAGAGAGAGTGAAAGCGGATGAGAATTAAGTTAATTGCGCTGAAAGAGATAGATTATAAAAAACGTGTTTGTCAACAAAAGAAAATATTTGATAAATATGTTGTTTAATAAACTTAGAAGTGAAATATTAATTTATTGATATTTTTCTGGTAAATTTATAGAATTTAACCATAATTTTTTATTAAAGATGAATCTAATATTAATTTTAGTAATACCCGCTGTTGAAATTACATTCAACATGTCCTATCTGCTAATCTAAATCAGCATTTAACAAACAAAAAGAATAAAATACTAAATAGACACTCCCTGTATAAACCAATTATCCAAAGTTGTGAAATAACAACCCGGTTAACTTTCAAATAACCTTCAAAGACACCTGCTACTTCGCAAACAATTCAAACAAAGTCACGCGAGATTTTTTCAACCAATCATTACTCTCGCGTGCAATCATACGATACTAGATAACCAATTAGAAGAAAGCCGGTAAAACTGATGCGAGCTAACAAACATAGCAAAACAAAACACTCACTTTCGTTTTCTCAGTCGACGAAGCGACAAGTCAAACAGTTACAAAGCCGGCATTCGCCGTAAATTAATTTCAAGCATTGTGCGAGTTGATTTACAAAAGTTAATATGTAGTCGATCAATAAATTTATCTAACCAAGTAGTAAATGTGTAAAATGTGAAATCATCAAGCCGTGAATATATCAAATTCAAATATAAGGTGATAGTTTTATTTGAATAAACCCAGTGCTTCAACCAAAACTTCAAGAATATCTCCCAGAGGCTACAGGGTGGAGCATAAGGCCTCCACCCCAGGTAATATACTATGATACAGTCCACCATGATCGAAGGCAGTATATGTCAAACCCAATAAAGCTAGGGTAGAACACCCACCACGTACAAACTGTCAACAGCTTCTGTATTTTTAGTATATCTTTATTTACTTTAAAAATATGCATTGTATTGCTTTTTATGTGAATAAACATTATTATTGTTATTAACAGTAGTTGAGTTAGTACCTGGTTACCAATTCTTAAAAAACTGTTTAATTGATCTTAATGATATGTGGTACCCTATTGCTTTGCTCCAAGTGTATAATAATCTGTTAATTATATACCTTTATACATACTTTTGAAAGTAAATAACAAATTATTTTGAAATTACCCACAGGTCATTCAAGCTGGTGGTCAACAAATAGTAATAAAAAATCTTCCAATTCAAAACCTCCAAATGTATAACGATCTGTTGATTATATACGTCTATACATACTTTCGAAAGTAAATAAATTATTTTGAAATTATTTACAGGTCATTCAAGCTGGTGGTCAACAAATAGTAATAAAAAATCTTCCAATTCAAAACCAAATAATCCAGCACCAGCATCAGCTCCGGCTCCAGTTCAAGCAGCCAAACCGTCGGCACCCAAGCCAGAAACCAAGACCAACGCGCATTCGCAGCAATCCGGTAACACCAACCATCAACCCATTGGATGGAATGTACCCGGTACCAACCAACATGGTCATAGAGGAAGTCAAGGTAAGATATTTGTTTTCAACGATTGGAAGTGGCAACGTAAAACCCACATGTATAGTGAGGTATTCACCATTATCGACTATCATCAGGCATTTAGGTATTAGATTCGCTAGCACAGATTAGGTACTACATATTTGGCCTTCCTAAATTCAAATGTCGGCCATTTTAATTGTTCATACTTCTTGTAGGTTTAAGTTCTTCGCAACAAACTTTTACTATTAGTAGAATAAGGCGTTCAATGATATTATTCCCTATGTCCAAAAAGGCGCATGTAGGTAGGAACCCTAGACGAAATCACGAAAAAACCAGAGCGAGAGTCAGTCCAGGTTAGTATCAATTTGCGGTGTACCGCAAGGATCTACCTCAAGGCTACTTTTCTTCTGTATGTATAAACATTTTTTATTGACTTTTAAAATCGGTTTACCCTTGAAAAAAACGTTGTTTATTTTAAAATTTATGTAATTGATTGATTGATTGATAAACAGTCTACCTTTAGATTTGATTGAAATCACATCATTGTTTTTTTAAAGTAGTGCGCTACAAATATTTAATATTCTTGATATGACGAGTTCAATAATTTCTTGTTACTCGCTCATTTTAGGTTTTCCCCCGTTTTTTCTTCTTTGTGTTATAATTTTTTTGGGTTTTTCGGATATAACTCATGATTCTTGTGTGAATTAGTTAGATTCACAATAGTAGTTTAAGCCACAAGAGTGGTACAGTTGTATACTACATTTTTACTAGACTCACTATCAAAAATTTATATAAATTAATTTAGATGTTATTAAGACTTTTACTAATTTATAAAATTTAAAAAAAAAAAGATTTTAAATAGTTCTCAATCCTGGATTTGAACGTTAGACTCTACGAATGACAAATCACTACTCTAGCTCTGCGTTAAGGAGACAGCTAATTATGAATTAAATTGGTTTTAGATATTTTTATTGAAATTAACGATTTATTTGTAAATATAGACGAATATCTTGCGGAATGCTATTATTTATCAATTCTTCACAATAATCGATTTATTCTCAATAACTAAAACAATATACTGTCAATTACTTTGACAGAATTGTCATTTAAAACAATAATAGCCTGGTGACCAAATATGGTGAATTTTATATCCGTACAGTGTCTTTACTAGAATGGATATGAAATTATATCCGTTCAGTAGAAAGCAAAGGTCTACTTTATCGTTCTGTAGTCCGTGCGTTAAATAGAAAATATCCATGTGGGTGTAGAAAAAAATATTTAATTTACACAATATTATTGCACCAGCCCTTTCCTTATTTCAGGCATCCACCAACAATCGCAAAATTACCCCACAAACAGTCAGCCACACGGTGGCGCTTGGGGTAATCAACAAGGCGGCGCTTGGGGTAACCATCAACAAGGTGGAACTTGGGGTAACCAACACGGCGGCGCCTGGGGTGGCCAACAAGGAGCGTATGGTAATCAACATGGCGGCTGGGGAGGTCACCATCAGCCTGGATATGGAGGAGGTGGTATGGGTGGATATGGAGGAGGAATGGGTGGGTATGGAGGCGGAATGGGTGGATATGGAGGCGGAATGGGTGGATATGGAGGCGGAATGGGTGGATTTGGAGGAGGAATGGGTGGATTTGGAGGAGGAATGGGTGGAATGGGAGGATATGGTACGTGCTTTTGTTGTCTTTACTCCTTTCATAAATTTTGATATTTAAGTATCTTTTAGGTATGCAACAGCAGAAGAGAGGGTTCTTCAGCGGCGGTAGTACTTTCGGTAACATCCTAACAGGTATGGCGATCTATCACGTCACTTCGAGTCTGGTAAAAGGAGTTTTTGGTGGAGGCCACTCCAGCAGGCCTTACACCGTCCATAATTATTATAACCAACCGCCCGAAGCTAGAGAAGAAATCAAACTTCCCGGAAGTATGCTGTCGCTGTGCGAAGGAAATCTTACAACTGTTTGTACAGGTAGAAAATAATAAAAACAACCTTTTTGCATATAGAACCTCAATAACCACATTTTTCAGGTGCCACTTCAATATGTACCACAAACAATACAGTTTTGTGCGTGGTCACAATGTCCCAAGCAACTTCGTGCGAAGAAGGCAAAGCAATGTGCGTCAATACGACCATTCCTTGTACCGATAAAACAGATCCGATATGTCAAAATACAACTCAGCAGGAAACTGAGACGACTGTTAATATGCCGTGCTACACCAACCTATCGGTCGATGTTAATTTATTGAACGAACCAGGCGCCAAAAGTGGGGAAGAATACCAGTATTGTGTTACAACGATGGCTGTTGCTGGTCCGGATTACAAGATTTGTTCCGAAGAAAGTCTATTGGAAAAGCATGATTACAGGAGTGTACTAGCGGGTTAGTAGTGCATTTTGTAATAAACTCTGCAGAGGGTTGATAATAAAGTCCCACAGATTAAATATCCACTCAGGATTATTTAAATAAATCAGGATTTACTTTAGAATTAGTTTTATTGAATTAGCAACACAGTGGGCTTCACACAGAACAATGAATAATAAAAATATCAACTGTCATATATTATTGTACAGTACCAACTTAAAATATTAAATATTAGTTAGGCATTTTATAGAGGTTCTAACAATTTTATGATATCTATCATATTTGGATTTGTTTTTTATTTTTAAGGTAACCTAACCTACAACCTGACGGTTTCACCGATGATGCGTAAATACCAAGTGTTCAATCAAGAGAATCCGACGCAAGCTCCGTCTGGCGAACTTGTACTGCCTCTAGAAGTGCTCATTCCTTGTATAGACAACGCCACTACGCTCTGCCCACCGGATTTGGTGACCATTTGCACGGGCTACAGCGAAATCATGTGCATACAACCGATCGCGATGACGGCTTACAGCGAAGATTACAATACCACCGTTTTTAAAAGCAAAATACCCTGCTTGGAAGCTTTGGAAGACGACTTTTTGTGCCAAAACAAAACTGAGGAGGAATTGATCGTAGAGGGCGATAAGAAATTCGTTAAAGTCGACATGCCTTGCTTCGGCAACATCACCGTGAACACGAATTTGCCGAATTTCGACATACAGACGTTCAACGGCAGCATACCGCAAGTCGCACCGAGCAGTTTCATGTACCACTATCATTTCTGTTTGATTACGATGAGCGTGCCCGGTCCCGAAAGCGATTTGTGCATGATATCCGATGGTAAAGAGGTTAAATCTTGAAAAAATTGGTTTAGAAAAGTTTTAAGTTTATAAAAAATTTATTAGAAGAATTTATTCAATAAATAGTTATAGAAGCTTCTGTCGTTTTTGTTTAGCGCGTTACACAAGTGACTCCAAACGAACCTGTAGCATCCGTTTCTTCTGATTAGTGACAGAAGATCCTAAAAATATCTGGTTATATCCCTCTCAAACTCCTTACTAACCAAACACACCTACAGGTGGTTTATTAAACCGAAAACGTCATTTGTCAACTGTCGAAAAATTCAACAATTTGTCCCTTGTCAGCTGTCGAAATTAGGTGACATATTTGACCAATGAACAGCATGGGGATTCTCATCTCTCAATTCGGCACGTGTTGAGACGCCTATCTTTGTCTCTCTCTATTCAATTCGTTACGTGTTGAGTTCACACATAAGAATCCCTGCCCTGGGGTAGGTAAAATGCTTGTCAATAGGCTTGAGATACGACTTTATGGGCGCAGATATTTTATTTTTTATCTCACTCGGGAGTATTTATAATAACCTTCTATTTCACATTGTTATTATCTGGTCCACCACATTGTAGATATTGGTCAGTGGTTTATAAATCTTCTTTTTACAGACACTGTAAATTGTCTCTCCAATTCATTAATAGTATTTTCTGATACATGTTGAGTCCGTTCAGATTCTCCAAAAAAATATTTTTAGATTTTTCTCGTTATTTTCAGACATCCAAAAGTCTTTTCGCGTTTTTTTCAGACACAATTATTCATCTTAGTATTTCAGACAAGACACAGCTATAGAGACGTTGTAGCTACTTCAATGTTTTCTAAAACGCTCACGAATTCAGTTGGATTGAATTCAAACAACTTTTTCTCATAGTTTGAATATTTTTAGACACTGCATTTTTTCACACAGTATGGTTTCTCATTAGTTTTTCTAGAGTACTTTCAAGCACAAATCAGAGTCTGCTCAGATGTTCCAGATTAGTCTAAGGCACTTCAGAATCGTTTTCAATTATGTCATATTATTTTCAGACATTTTCAGACACAATAGAGTCTCTAGTCTGTTTTTAAGGGTTTTAGGCACAATTCACGTTTTTCAGACATTACAAAGTATCTCCAGACGTTCACAAGCTTCTCTGGATTGTATCCAACAACTTCGGTATCTTTTCAGATCATTCAGAATATTTTTGTCTGATACACTATCAGAGTTTTTCAGATACTACATGGTCTTTCTAGATTATCTACAGACAATATTCTTAGACGTTAGTATTTCTAGACACTCCAAATTCTCTACAGTTCTTCTAGTTTATTTTCGCTGTAGTCTCTTTACGTTTCTTTTTAGACAAAATACTCTAGAAGCTCTGCAGTTCATCATAGTTCATTTCAAAGTCTTTGTAGCTCCTTCAGAGTTTTCTAAGACGCTCAGGAATTTATTTCGATTGAATCCAAAAACTTGAATGTCTTTTCAAATAGTTTTAACGTTTTTAAACACTTCAGAATATTTTTGTCTTGACATGGTCTTACTAGATTATTTCCAGACACACCTCAATTTTTTCAGATACTCCAGAATGTACGTTGTCTTTATAGACATTTAAGTGTCTGTTAAGACACTTTTCCAGTGTCTGTTCAGCTAGAGGTCCATCCAGTTCTTCATCAGAATGTTTTTTCGGTGGTTTCCTTAATCTTGAAGCAGATACTTCAAAACCTCCAGTTCCCTCATAGACTACAAGACACTCTAGAATTTCCAGACACTTGACGGTTGTTTCTAAATCTTTTTAGGCACTATATTGTCTTTCCAGTTCATTAATAGTATTTTCAGACACATGTCGAATTCACTCAGACAATCTAGAATATCTCTGATATCCCCTAGAAGATTTTTAGACATTTCTTATTATTTTCAGACTTTCGAAAGTTTAAGTTCTTCTAGATTATTTCCAGATGTTCCAGAGTAATTTGGGACACTTCAGAATCATTCTTAATTTTTTCATATTATTTTCAGACACTGTACAATCTCTTTACAATTTTTTAGGCACAATTCAAGAGCCATTTCAATTCTTCATCATTTTTCAGACATTCCACAGCTACAGAGATTTTGTAACTCCTTCAGAGTCTTCCAAAACGTTCACGAGCTCATCTGTATTGTATTCCATAATTTGATTGCCTTTTCACATAGTTTGTATGTTTTTATGACATTCACTAGTCTTCCAACTTCCTCTAGAGTAGTTCTAGACCCTCTAGAATTTTTTTCAGTTCTTTCATAGACTAAAAGACACACTTGTATTTCTACAGTATGTCTAGACACTCGTCAGTTGTTTATAAATCTGTTTAAACATCATATTGTCTCTCCAATTCATAAATAGTATTTTCAGGCACTTATTCGAGTCACTCGGATACTTCAGGGTACCTCTAGAGTATCCCCTAGAATCCTTTTAGACATTTCTTAGTATTTTGAGACATCCGAAAGTCTCTTCAATTCTTCTAGGTACTTTCCAGATATTCCAGAGTAATTTAGGACACTTCAGAATCATTCTTAATTTTTTTTCAATTTATTTTCAGACGTTTTATTCAGACACAATTCCAGTTCATCAGACATTCCACAGCTCAGATACTTTGTAGCTACTTTAATGTCTTCTAAGACGCTTATGAGTTCATTTGGATTGAATCCAAAAAACGTAAATGTCTGTTCTTACAATTTGAATGTTTCTAGACACTATTGTTTTCAGACAGTATTAGTTTCTCTAAAGTACTTTCAGATGCTCCAGAGTAGTTTAAGACACTTCAGAATCGTTTACAATTATGTCATATTATTTTCAGACACAACACTCCAATTTCACACGTTCATGCGTTCACATTGCAGATACTTTGTAATATTTTTCTATCAGAGTTTTTTTAGACACTATATTTGTATTTCTAAAATATTTCCAGACATAACTCCAGAATGTCTGTGGTCTTTATAAACTATAAACATTCTTTCAAACACTTAAAAGTTTATTGAGATCTTCTGGAGCGTTTCCAAATATTTTTAGATACTTCAGAACGATTTTAGACATAACATGAAGTGTTACCAACTTCTCAAGAGTTACTCAGACATTATTATGTCTCCTAAATTTCATCAGAATCTTTTTTCCCAGCTTTTGTTGATCTTGAAGCACAATTCACGAGTCGGTTCACTTCAAATTTTTTTCAGACATTCCAAAGTATCTTTAAACGTTCACAGGCTTCTCTGGATTGTATCGAGAAACTTCAGTATCTTTTTTGTCTGATATATTATCAAGAGTTTTTCAGACATTACATGGTCTTTCTAGATTATTTTCAGACACACCTCAGTTTTTTCAGACAGTCCAGAGTTTCTTCAGACATTTAGAGGTCCAATAAGTTCTTCTGGAGTGTTTCTAAATGTTTTCAGATAGCTCAGATCGGTTTCAGATATAACGCAAAGTGTTACCAAGTCCTGTAGAGTTACTTAAACATTCTAATGTCTCCTAAACTTTATCAGAATTTTGAAGCAGATACTCCATAGTTTTCAGGTATTTCAAAATCTATTTAGAAACTAAACATTAGAAAAATCGAACTTAGTAGATAATATGGATTTTCAACAAATAAAGGCCGAAAAAATCAAGGACATTAGACATTGTTTCTCCAGATCATTAATATTATTTTCGCTGTAGTCTCTTTACGGTTTTTTTTTAAGACACCAAGAGATCCTGCAGTTTATCATAGTTCATTCCAAAATCTACTGCAGCTCCTTCAGGAGTTTAACTGGAGTTTTTCAGACACTACATTTGTTTTTCTAAAATATTTCCAGACACAACTCAAATTTTTTTCAGACACTGTAGAGTCTCTCCAGTTTATCATAGTTTTTCAGACATTTTACAGCTACAGAGACTTTGTAGATCCTTCATAGTCTTCTAAGACGCACTGGAATTTATCTGGATTGGGTTCAAAATTTTGAATGCCTTTTCACATACTTTAAAATGTTTTTAGACACTTTGAAGTCTTTTCAGAGAGTATGATGTTTCCATAGTTCCTCTAGAATATTTTCAGACACAAAAATATCTAATTATTCCCAGAAACAAGTGAATTAAACGGAAGTTTTTTAATTGGTGTTTCATTTCATGGATAAGAAGTTTTTCAAGTCCCATAGTACCGGCATTAGCCGAAGAATGTATAGAGTGCCAACCCCCAACGTAAACAGTAAGTAAAAATGATTATGACTTGTCCTAAAATATTTTTGAGCATCTGGAAATAATCTAGAAGAACCAAAGGGACTTTTGGATGTATGAAAATACTAAAAAACATTTAAAAAGATTCTAAAGACATTTTGAAAGAACTGGGAGAAGCTATAATGGGAGGAATTGAGTAGAGCACATATCTGCGCTGTCATCTGTCAAACAATAACTGTAACTTATCGAATAATCATCATTTGTCATACTTCAAACTATCTCAAATAATTATTAGAGAGAAGTCAATTAATTTCTGCAAGATTTGACATTCTGATTTTCAATGACAATTCAACAATTATAAAACCTTCTCTTTTTATTTCAATCATTTTTAAATCTGAAACGTCACTTGTAAAATGTTAAAACGTTAAACAACCTGTCACTTGTCGGATGTCGAAATAATATGACGTATTTAAATATTTAGGAGCAGTTTTGTATTTATGTTCGATGTTTGAATACGAAGAAGGTACCAAAAGAAGAAAACTGTAAAGAATGCGATGTTTTAACTTACCATTACTTTTTTTGCAATACTAAGCTGTCAAATAGTATTATTATGTCATCTGTTACTTGTCAAATGACAATTGTCACTTACCTTAGAGTAGCTGTCACTTGTTATACTTTAAACTATCGGGGGTAGAGAAAAAATAATTTCAGTCATCGTTTGGAGTAAAAAATTGAAAGAATTATAATTATAGAATATATTTAATATAAAACAATTAATAAATTAAGTCAAAATATAACATATTTTACACGCATTTTTTAGGCAGTTTAAATTAAAAAGTCAGAGTTAATATCACATCATGCTGAGTAGAAAATTAACTTTTTTTGTTCGTTTATTAAACCGTAAAGAGAGGATAAACAATAACAAGACAAAAAAACAGTTTGTTCCCTAAATAATATTTTTAACTTTGGTTAATAAATCTAACCCGAGAAACTTCTTAAAAAGAGCGATACTGACAAAAAAATACCAATCAAATAAAAATATTGGTAAAAATATAGACAACAGTCATTATTTTACAACTGATAAATAAAAATAAGGTGACAGCCGGGATAAAGTGTCATTCAACCGTCAAAAATCGCTTTTCTAACCTCAAAATATCGCGGAACGCTTTTTAATCAAGTTTCCCAGGAGCTTCCACTTGGATAGAAAAATACTGGCACTAGTTTTGAGAGACGTACAGTACATAATAAAAACTTCTACTAAATATATACATCGTTAGGAATGTCTATTTTTTGATCAAAATAATACTCTTTAGCGTAGAGGTAGAACAGCAGAGAGACCCGTCAAATTTGATAGCAGTTAAATGATTAGTTTTACTGTAAAAACACTCGGTGTATATGAATCTAAATGTGTATAAGTATAAATAAAATAAACCTTTATATGTATCTGCTATTCTACCTCGTTATGACTAGAGATCTTAGCGAACACAACAAGTTGCCTATATTACTCCGAATTTCCGAGAATTCGCGGTACTAATTTGGGACGCTAGGTGTCGCTTGATCTACCAAACGACGTCGTTACAAGTGAACGTGATTTCGACTTCTCGTATTGAAATTTTGCTTCAAGATCAACAAAACCAGGAAAAAAGATTCTGATGAGGTTTAGGAAACATTAGAATGTCTGAGTAATGTTTGAAGTATCTGAAAATATTTGGAAACGCTTCAGAAGTGCTCAATGGACTTCTACATGTCTCAAAAGACAGTGGAATGTTTATTAAGACTTCGAACACTCGGGAGTTATGTCTGGGAATATTTTAGAAAGACAAATGTAGTGTCTAAAAAACTCTGATAGTATATCAGACAAAAATATTTTAAAGTATATAAAATGAGAACGCATGAAGAGACTTTGGGATGTGTCTGAAAAATGTGGTGAACTGTATCTGAAAAAAACCTAAAGAAACTGGACAATATAGTGTCTAAAAATATTACGACAGAAGTGTGTTAAAATACTATAAGAGCATCTGAAAATATTTTAGAAGAACTGAAGAGACTTTTGAATATCTGTCAATTTTAAAAATCGTCTAAAAAATTCTGGATATACTCTGATTTGTCTGAAAATATTCTAAAGGAACTAAAGCAACTTTCTGCTGACTGAAAAGACTGCAGAATGTCTAAAAACGTTCCAACTATGTGAAAAGACATTCAAGTTTTTGGATTCAAACCAGATGAACTCATAAGGGCCTGAAGGCGCTTCAAAGACTTTGGAACAAACTATGATGAACTGCAAAGCCTCTAGACTTTTGTCTTAAAAAACCGTAAATAGACTACAGAGAAAATAATCTAGAAGAACTGAAAAGACTTTGAAATTTCTGTAAAAGAAACGTCTAAGAAGATTGTCTGGAAATAATCTAGAAAGACCATGTAGTGTCTGAAAAACTCGGATAGTATATCAGACAAAAATATTCCGAAGCATATGAAAAGATACTGAAGTGTCTAAAAACGTTAAAACTAAGTGAAAAGACATTCAAGTTTTTGGATTCAATCGAGATAAATTCCTGAGCGTCTGAAGGAGCCACAAAGATTTTGGAATGAACTGCAAGGTCTCTAGAATGTTGTCTTAATAAAACCGTAGAGACTACAGCAAAAATAATCTAGAAGAACTGAAGAGAACTTGGGATGTCTAGATATACTAAGAAACGTCTAAGAAGATGGGCTGAAAATAATCTAGAAAGACCATATAGTGTCTGAAAAACTCTGATAGTATATCAGACAAAAAGAAGCTCAAGACTCTATAATGTCTAAAAATAATACGACATAATTAAAAACGATTCTAAAGTGCCTTAAAATACTCGTGGAACATCTGGGAATAATCTAAAAGAAGAGAAGAGACTTTTGGATGTCTATTAAGATTATTAAACGTCTAAAAACATTCTAGGGATATTGGAAATACTCTGGAATATCTGAGCAAACTCAACTTGCGCCTGAAAATACGCTAGAGGAACTAATGAGACACCATACTGTCTGACAATACTGCAAAATGTCTGAAAAGACTGCAAAATGTCTGAAAACGTTCAAACTACGTGAAAATTTTTGGATTTAATCCAGATGAATTTCTGAGCATGTTAGAAGACTCTGAAGACTTTGGAATAAACTATGATGAACTGCAAGGCCACTAGAATTTTGTCTTAAAAAACCGTAAAGAGATTATAGCAAAAATAATCTAGAAGAACTGAAGAAACTTTAGGATGTTTGTGAGTATTAAGAAACTTCCAAAATAATCGAAAAAAGATTCTAATAAAGTTTACGAGACATTAGAATGTCTGGATCACTCTAGAAGAGTTGGTAACACATCGTGTTATGTCTGAAACCGTTTTGAGGTATATTAAAACATTTGGAAACATTCCAGAAGAAGTTATTGGACCTCTAAATGTCTGAACAAACACTGAAATGTCTATAAAGACAACGGACACTCTGGAATGTCTGAAAAAACTCAGTAGTGTCTAAAAATAAGCTAGAAAAACGATGTAATGTCTGAAAAACTCTGATAATATATCAGACAAAAAAGTATCTGAAAAGATATTGAAGTTTTTGGATACTATTCAGAGGTGCTTGTGAACGTGTGAAGATACTCTGGAATGTCTAAAAAAAAACGTAAACTGAACTGACGTGTGAATTCTGCCTGAAAAAAAAACTAAAGAAACTGAAGATTGTCTGAAAATAATGACAATGGAAAACGATTCTGAAGTGTTTTAAAAACTCTGATAGTGTCTAAAAATAATTTAAAAGTACTGAAGAAACTTTTAGCTGCCTGACAAGATTAAGAAACATTTAAACATATTTTAGGGGATACTAGAAATACGCTGGAGAAATTAATGAGATACTTCACTGTTTGAAAAAACTGCAAAATGTCTGAAAAGACTACAAAGTATCTAAAAACATTCAAACTGTGAGAAAATATATTTAACTTTTTGGATTTAAATCAGATGAACTCATGAGCGTCTTAGTTGACTGTAAAGGCGCTGTGGAATGTCTGAAAAACTATGATTAACTCTTGAATTGTGTCTAAAAAACCGTAAAAAAACTCTACACTGTCTGAAAATAAAATGAAAAAATTAAGAATGAATCTGAAGTGTCCTAAAATACTCTGCAACATCTGGAAATAATCTAGAAGAACTGAAAACATTTTAGGATGTCTGAAAATACTAAGAAACTGAATTGTGTCTAAAAAAACCGTAAAGAAACTCTACAGTGTCTGAAAATAATATGAAAAAATTAAGAATGAATCTGAAGTGTCTTAAAATACTCTGGAACAATTAGAAATAATCTAAAAGAACTGAAAACACTTTAGGATGTCTGAAAATACTAAGAAACGTCTAACAAGTTCCTAGAGGATATCAGAGATACTCTGAAGTATCCGAGTGAACTCGATAAGTGTCTGAAAAAATTATTAATGAACTGAAAAGACAATGTAGTGTCTAAAAATATTTAGAAACAACTGACGAGTGTCTAGACATAATCTAGAATTGCTAAAGAGTGTCTTGTTGTCTATGAGGGAACTGAAGAAACTAGAGTATTTAGAAATACTCTAGAGGAAGTTGGAAGATTGTTGAATGTCAAAAAATATTCTAAAAGAATTGGGATAAACTATGGAGGAAATGAGGGACTATGCAGTGTCTAAAACGATTTTGAACTATATATCTGGTCAGTCTCAGCAGTATGTGGAAGTACTATGGAGGAGCTTAAGAGACTCTTAAGGGTATTAAAAGATTCAAGAATGTCTAAAACGATTTTAAAAGAAGTATTAATGCTACTGGAGCTTCTCAAATTCCCAGAAACTCTTTAAAGCAGAATTAAAGGGTAATGAACGTCCCAAATGCATCTAAAACAATTAAATACTTGAGAAGACCAGCAAAATTCTGGAGGGCTTCTAAAATGAATATTCGCAGAAATCACAACGGACATTCAAATGCAACAAAATCTAAACTAAAAATTCAATTAGTTTAATTTTCACCCAGTTTTAAAAAAATCCTATCATCGCTTGGCAACTATCTCTAAAGTGACGGTGAAGATTTAAGATCTAAATTAGTGTTTAATAAGCAAATTCTCGAAAATTCCGGATACAACCTCAAAAAAAAACCTCATATAAAAAACTATTTGAGCTACAAAAGAAAATGTTCTTTAACTCATCAATAATTGCACAAAATTGATCATTTTTATAACCCTGTATATGAATTTGTTCACGCAGACGCGGGCGGCGAAGATCGACTACTCTCCTCGATCAATTTCAACGCGGCCAACTCGAAAATTTGCAAAACTACGTCCAAATTGATTTTTCCTATTTGCAACGACGACACTAACAGAGCAAGCACCTTGACTAAAACGTTTTTACCTAAAACCAGCTTGACAGAATCTGGAATTCAAGAAAGACAACAACGTTTATTCACTTCACGCACTTGTTTGACAGCTATCAACGCATATGAGTCAACTGTCGAGTATGTCAATGTTTTTTCAGCTTTTAGGACCCGCTAGAGATGTTTATCAATTAATTGTCAAAAGTGTCGTTCATCAATTAATTATCAAGAGTGTCAATTGACTAAATACTCGCATAACAGCTGTTAAAAATTGTCAATCAACTGTTAATATGGTTTTTCAGCCTCTAAGACACACTAGAGATGTAAAAGTATATGAATTGAATGTCAAAAGAGACATTTATCAATAATTAATTGTCAACAGTGTCAATCGCGGTATTTGATTTTAAATACTTGCTTGATAGCTGTCAAAGATTGTCACTTAACTGTCAATATAGTTTTTCAATCTGTAAAAACCCGCTAGAAATGTAAAAGTATATTAATTATCAAAAGTGTCATTCATCAGTTAATTGCCGATATTTGACTTCAAATACTCGCCTGGAAACTCTCAAAAATTGTCAATCAACTGCCAATATGGTTTTTCAGCTTCTAAGACCCGATAGAGATGTAAAGTATATGAATTAATTGTCAAAAGTGAAATTTATCAATAATTAACTGTCAACAGTGTCAATCGCGGTATTTGATTTCAAATACTTGCCTGATAGCTGTCAAAGATTGTCACTTAACTGTCAATTTAGTTTTTCAATCTTCAAAAACCCGTTAGAGATTTAAAAGTATACAGGGTGTTAAAAAAAAGTGTCACAAAATAAAGTATGGGCCAAAATATGCAGAAAAGTCTTAATAAACATATGTCCGCAAATGACATTTATCAATAATTAATTGTAAAGAGTGTCAATTGCGGCATCTGACTTTAAATACTTGCCTTACAGCTGTCAAAGATTGTCACTTATCTGTTAATATACTTTTTCAACCTTTAAAAATCCGCTAGAGATGTAAAAGTATATTAATTAATTGTCAAAACTATTAATATGGTTTTTGAGCTTCTAAGACCCGCTAAAGATGAAAAAGTATATTAATTGATTGTCTGATATGTCGTTCGTGTATAAGAATCGATAAAGACATAAAATTAAATTAATAAATTGTAAAGAGTGTTAATTGCCATATTTAAGTTCAAATATTCGTCTGACAGATGTCAAAGATTGTCAATCAACTGTAAACTATAATTTCTCAGCTTCTAAGACAGTCTAGAGATGTAAAAGTATATTAATTGATTGTTAAAAGTGACATTTGCTTTATTTAATTTCAAATACTCACCAGACAGATGTAGAACTACATAAATCAGCTGCCTATATTGTATTTCAATTTCTAAGACTCATTATAGACATAAAACTAAATTAATTAACTATCAAGAGTGTTAATCGCGGTATTTGACTTCAAATACTTGCTTGACAGATGTCAAAGATTTTTCAGTCAATTGTCAATGTCAAATGTCACTTTCGTATACTCACCTGGTAAACTGAGCACCAAATTTTCCACGAATTCGTCCGTTTCCAAATACAACACGTTCGTATTCGTCTCTTTGGGTATGGTCAACAAGTTCGTGCACAAATCTTCCATGGCGCTATCTACATTTTCTAGTACGTATTTTTCTATAGAATTACCCAATATTAGCAAAATCGCTTTGACCACCGGTTCCCTTATCAAAGGGGAATCCGTATCGGATAAAAGTTCGCAAATTATGTCTACCAACGCTTTGGTTATGGGCATTTTCGCTTCGAATTCGTCTAATTCATCTAAAAAGCAAAGAAAAACCGTTAGTTTGAAGTGTCAATTGTCACAAAATGTCGTATGTCAGCTGTAACTATGAAATGTTAGACAAAATAACGTCATGTACCTTCGAATTCTACACTAGATTTAAATAAAGATTGTTGAAACGTATCTAAAGAATCTATTGCCTCATACGCATGGTCAATTTCCGTATCCAAAGCGCAATATTCCTGCCTTTCACTTAACAACCTCTTCATTCTCGTCAAAATGTCGGTTTCCTACAAAAATTAAACCATACAATGTTGCAGCTTCGACAGCCTTTAGATTCTTACGTTTTGTTCGGTTTGCATGAAAATCCAAGCGTTGTCAGAATGTTCCACACCCTGTACATTGCTCGGCAGAGCGGTCTTGATCGAATGGATGGTTTTATCCAAGACGCCGGTAGCCGTTTTGGCACAAAACTTGTAGAAACTCGGTATCATGCCGTCCACCTCGTCGGGATCCGAACCTAGCTCAGATTCGAGAGGTTTTTGACCTGTCTCGTCGGGAGGCCTACAAAGAATCCAACAAAAATTAACCGCACGTCGCAAAAGTTGACAGTCCGTTAACGAAATACATTCAAAATTTCGCTCGTGTAGGTAAAACGTAATAAAAGAATGTCAATCGCCAAATGTCAATGTTAAATGTTGATATTAAATGTCGACTTTAAATGTCGATGTTACATATCGATGTTAAATATCGATGTTAAATATCGATGTTAAATATCGATGTTAAATATCGATGTTAAATATCGATGTTAAATATCGATGTTAAATATCGATGTTAAATATCGATGTTAAATATCGATGTTAAATATCGATGTTAAATATCGATGTTAAATATCGATGTTAAATGTCAATGTTAAATGTCAATGTTAAATGTCAATGTTAAATGTCAATGTTAAATGTCAATGTTAAATGTCAATGTTAAATGTCAATGTTAAATGTCAATGTTAAATGTCAATGTTAAATGTCAATGTTAAATGTCAATGTTAAATGTCGACTTTAAATGTCGATGTTACATATCGATGTTAAATATCGATGTTAAATATCGATGTTAAATATCGATGTTAAATATCGATGTTAAATATCGATGTTAAATATCGATGTTAAATATCGATGTTAAATATCGATGTTAAATATCGATGTTAAATATCGATGTTAAATATCGATGTTAAATATCGATGTTAAATATCGATGTTAAATGTCAATGTTAAATGTCAATGTTAAATGTCAATGTTAAATGTCAATGTTAAATGTCAATGTTAAATGTCAATGTTAAATGTCAATGTTAAATGTCAATGTTAAATGTCAATGTTAAATGTCAATGTTAAATGTCAATGTTAAATGTCGATGTTAAATGTCAATGTTAAATGTCAATGTTAAATGTCAATGTTAAATGTCAATGTTAAATGTCAATGTTAAATGTCAATGTTAAATGTCAATGTTAAATGTCAATGTTAAATGTCAATGTTAAATGTCAATGTTAAATGTCAATGTTAAATGTCAATGTTAAATGTCAATGTTAAATGTCAATGTTAAATGTCAATGTTAAATGTCAATGTTAAATGTCAATGTTAAATGTCAATGTTAAATGTCAATGTTAAATGTCAATGTTAAATGTCAATGTTAAATGTCAATGTTAAATGTCAATGTTAAATGTCAATGTTAAATGTCAATGCTAAATGTTTATGTTAACTGTCAATGTTAAACGTCAATTTTAAATGTCAATGTTAAATGTCAATGTTAAATGTCAATGTTAAATGTCAATGTTAAATGTCAATGTTAAATATCATTGTTGAATGTCAATATTGATTTTCAACTACATACAAACGTCATGCGTTAAATATTAACGTCAAGTCTCAACGTCATGCGTTAAATATTAACGTCAAGTCTCAACGTCATTCGTTAAATATTAACGTCAAGTCTCAACGTCATGCGTCAAACATTAACGCTATATGTCAAATATTAACATCATACGTCAAATATTATCGTCATACGTCAAATATTATCATCATACGTCAAATATTATTTTCAAGCATCAACGTCATACGTCAAATATTAACGTCATACGTTAAATATTAATGTCAAGTATTAGTGTCATACGTAACATTTTAGGGTATGGTCGGTCCGTTATTGACCGAAATATCGGTTACTCCATCCAAAACTAACCGCTCTGCTTGACATTCCTGAAAAATCGGTTAGTGACGCGGTTACCTAAAAATGGTGACTCAAAATGTCAATTCACTGGCCGCTATATTTTTACGGTTACTACTAAGTCGAATGTCAATCTGTCACAAAAATTACGTAAATCTCGACCGTGGTCCAAATGTAGTTTTTTTTTTCAGGAACCGCTGTCAAAAAATCCTGGTTACTTGCGTTTAGTAGTCGGTTAATATCGGACCATACCCTAAATTTTAATGTTAAATGTCATTGTTGAACGTCAATGTTGAATATCAATGTTGAGTGTCAAATATAAACGCCATGCGTTAAATATTAACAAGTATCAACGTCATACATTAACGCCATACGTTAAATATTAACATCATACGTCAAATATGAATGGCATACGTCAAATATTAACGTAACTACCTCAAATATAAACGTCATTCGTCAAATATTATCATCATACGTCAAATATGAACGTCAAGTATCAACGTCATTCCTCAAATATTAACGTCAAGTATGAAAGTCACGTCAAGTATCAAAGTAACGTCAAGTATCAACGCCATACGTCAAATATTAACGTCGTATGTCAAATATTAACGTCATACGTTAAATATTAATGTCAAGTATCAGTGTCATACGTCAAATTTTAACATCATACGTCAAATGTAACCGTCAAGTATCAACGTCATACGTAAAATATTAATGGCATACGTCAAAAATTAACGTCATGTATCAATATCGAACAGCGACCTCTACAGAGCCTTTCATGTCAATTTTGGGAGACGGAAAAATTAAAAACTTACAGAAACATTCGAATTAGTTTTTGAAAAAAAAAAGTTTGTTAGGTTAAGTATTTGGTATCTTAGTTTAAGCTTAAATTAGTACGTTTTTAATAAAGATGGATTATCTACAGTTATCAAGCTTTTACTGTTAGTAGATTAGAAATTATTTTTTTGAAATTTGTACCTAGCTTGCGAAAAAATATCCATTAGAAACCTTAAACTCCCATAATGTTTGGCCTGAACGTATCTGTAATGTTAAAAATCATAATAAAATTTATTAAACGTGTCTTTTTACCAATCTTTTAAGTTATATACCATTAAGTAGACACCTTTTAAGCAAAATTAACTATAAATCGAATAACATTTAAAAAAGACTTACATAGGACTTAAAGCAGGTGTCGACAAGCTAGATTCCGAAGATCTTTGTTGCAAAAGCGACCTTAGCTTAGCTATACTTGAAGCTAGATCAGCTGTATCTTCATACTCGGGATCCGGACTGTTAGTTCCAGAAGAAGGTTGTTCCATCGATATCGAAGGAATTTCTAGTTCTTTTTTACCTTTTTCCTCAGATTTTTCCTGAGAAATATAAAAAATGCTGTCAAAAATGTCATAAGTTTACATCAAAACAACATAATAATCACTAAATACGAATTTATAGTCTAGTTAGGAATGATCTATGTTAAACGGTTGTCTTATACGGGTAAGGTCTTTTTCAAAATAAAATGAAAAAAGAAGTAGATTTTGACGTACATTTCTAACCTCAAAATAAAAAATATAAATAAACAAATAGTTTTTAGTTTTCTAAGATGGATTTTAAGCAATTTTGTGAGTTTCTAGAAGAAATAAAGCAAACTAAAGTTCCGAAGGAAAAACACAAGCTGATAGCAGAACGATTTAAACTAATACGCGAGAAATTACATGACAACACTACAAACTTTTTCCAAATATTCAGACTCATGTTACCGACTTTGGACAGAGACAGGGACTCCTACAACATGAAAGAAGCGAAAGTGGCAAAAATATTGATAAAAATGTTGGATTTACCAGCTGGAAATGATAAAAATATACTGAGTAAGTCATATTTAATGGCACATCAAGCCACCGATTTTGGCGATGTAGTTCATTCCGTTATTAGGAAGTATTTATCTAATACTAGAACGGTTTTAACTATAGAGGAATTAAATAATTATTTAGACGATCTAACCAAAAAGAAAAATGAACGCGAAGGTGAAGATATATTAATGAAAATATTTAAAAAATGCTCGCCAGATCACATCCGCTGGGTTATTCGAATCATTTTAAAGGATTTAAAACTAGGATTAGGTACGAACTCGATATTAAACTGTTACCATTCAGACGGAGCGTCTTTTTATGCTTCTAATAACAATTTAAAAAAAGTTTGTGAGACTTTACGGGACGAAACCGTCAGATTGCACGAATTGGAAATCGAAATTTTTGAAGCTTTTCGACCCATGTTATCCAAAAAGATCGAGGCGTCGAATTTTAAAAAATTGTTGCCGGATAACAAGGCTTTTTTCGTTGAAAATAAGTTTGATGGCGAGAGATTTCAGCTGCATATGAAAAATGGGGAATTTAGGTATTTTTCAAGGAATGGTTTCGATTTTACTGAGAATTTGGGAAGAAATTACGATACAGGTGAGTTATTGTTTGTGATGAAGGTGTTGTATAAGAAAAAATGCAATAAAAGTGTTGTAGAATGAGTTTTATACAGGGTTGGAAAAACCTAAGATATAAAAAGATATAAGTAGCTTATTTAGGATTTTAAGTATTTAGTTCTAATAAATCAAAAATTATTATTAATAGTTAGAACAAAAAATACAAACACAACTTAAAAAATATATATAAAAAATCACATTCTGCAAATTAAAAAAAAAATAAATAGTTAGAAATTAATAAAAAGTTTTTTGCTACTGGGTATGTCTAATTTGGGGATTGCAATTTGATGGCTGCCAGGTATAAAACTAGTAATACTTAAGAGTTACACTGGGACATGTAACACCCACCCTTGTCAATTTTGAAAAAACAGTGCTAGGTACTAGAAAAACTCACTAGATTACTGAGACTTCTTACACGTATTACCCACTTCAATATCTTTTTGCAAGGTGACACTAATTTCCCCCCATTGCCTCCAAAGTGTACTTTGCTTTTGTCAATTTTGATAAAAAGAGTATTAGGTACTAGAAAAAACGCACTAGGAACTGTTATTTCGTACACCCATACCTTATATCAGGTGATACTAATTTTCCCTCCAAGGGATACTTCACTCATCAATTTTGACAAAATTAGTTCCAGGTACTAGAAACAACTGACTAGATTATTAAGACTTCATACATGTAATACCTATTCCAATATCTTTTTGCCAGGTAACATCAATTATCCCGCCCCCCCCCCCTCATTGCCACCAAAGGGTACTTTACTCTTGTCAATTTTTACAAAAACAGTGCCAGGTACTAGAAAAAATCACTAGATTACTCTGTCTTCTTATATGTAACACTCAATCCAATAATTTTTTGCCAGGTGACACCAATTTTTCCCCCATTGCCCCCCAAAAGGTACTTTATTTTTGTCAATTTTGATAAAAACAGCGCCAGGTTGTAGAAACAATTCCCTAGATTGCTCTGACTTCTTGTACGTAACATTCATTCCAATACCTTTTTGCCAGGTGACACCAATTTTCCTCCCATTGCCTCCAAAAGGTACTTTACTACTGTCAATTTTGACAAAAACAGTGCCAGGTACTAGAAAAAACTCACTAGATTACTCTGACTTCTTATACGTAACACTCAATCCAATAATTTTTTGCCAGGTGACACCAATTTTCCTCTCATTGCCTCTAAAAGGTACTTTATTCTTGTCAATTTTGACAAAAACAGCGCCAGGTTGTAGAAACAATGCCGTAGATTGCTCTGACTTCTTATACATAACATTCATTCCAATACCTTTTTGGTAGGTGATACCAATATTCCTTCATTGCCTGTTTTGTCAAAATTGATATGTGTAAAGTACCCTTTGGAGGCAATGGGGTGAAAATTGGTGTCACCTAGTAAAAAGATATTGGAATGGGTATTATGTTTATAAAGTCTCAGTAATATTATGGGTTTTTCTATTACCTGACACTGTTTTTGTCAAAATTGATAAGATCAAAGTACCCCTGGAAGGGGATTGAATGTAAATTGACGTCACCTAGTAAAAAGGTATATCATGTCTCAATTATTAACTCTTGTTTAGTACCTGGCAGCCATCAAATTCCAATCCATAAATTAAACATACCTATTACTATCACTAATATCAGAAGAGCTCCAAGGGAGGACCAAGCGCCCCCACCACCTCCAAGATTATAATTTTTTCAATTCATGAGCCATTTATTAAAAAAAATATGCTAAAAAGTTAAGTTTTATTGGCAATGCCCCTCCGAAAATTCTGCCTCGAGCCGCCCTTGGTGGTAAACTTTGATAAAATATTTACATTTGCTTTTATATATACTAATTTTTGCACCTTTTCTGCTGAGAGTTTATTAGTAAAATTGCAAATTCTAAATATGTATCTCCTAAAATTGCAGGACTTTCACATTTAATTTTCTTAAACAACCTAAAAAATCTAGGAACAAAACAACCTGTACCTGCCAACCCTGGTTTTATAATACGTGAGTGATAATTAGACTTAAAAATAAACAACCTTTGTAAAATTATATTAGATTCATTACCTCATACTATTATTTCATTTTAAATAACTTATTTCATTAAAAATTCTATTAATATCATTAAAACTGTGAAAGTAGTTTAAGCCGGTGAAAAGTAGATGTGCTAAGCCGCTCCTATCGCACAATACAAAGTTTCGCCGTTAGACGGCGTTGGTGTTTCGTCGGAGCAGAGGTTTGCGAACTAGCTAAGGATTCGCGTCAGGGAGGTAGGAAGGGCAGGAGATGACACCACGTTAAATAAGTAACACCAATTTAACAACTGTATATGAAATTTGTATTTGTAAATATCATTATATTGTGTAGTAATTGAGGACCTTACTGCAAGCTCTATGTTTAATAAGGTTTTAAGAAAAAACTTTTATAAAAACAAAATAAAATATTCTAATCAAAGGATGACATATTTGCATGTAACATAACTTTTATTGGTGATATATATTAGTTTGAAAGGAAAAAAACAATTGGAGCTGCCCCCTCTTGCAACAAAGTTAAAAAAGTTTAATATTTTTGTTATTTATTATCGCAACTGGCTGATTTTTACACCAATAGATTAAGCCTAATTTTTTACATAGAGTATATAAAATTTTACCAAAAATTGATTTCTTCCAGCGCAATTTATTTATAGGCGGAACTTTGCACTGCATGTTAGATGCAATCCAGCTCATCTACTAGGGTATCTATTTTCATATATCAGTCCATTTTAGGAACTCTAACCCCAAAATTGAAAGGCCTTATACGCAGCGACGTCAAAAAATTAATCCTAGACGGCGAACTAATGATGTGGAATCGGTACGCTCGAGCGTTCGGCTCGAAAGGAATGACCCTCGATGTGAAAAAACTCAACAGCCAGGGCCCGTATCAACCGTGTTTTTGCGTCTACGATATCATCTTATTGAACGATAGAATTCTTACGAACAACGCTTTGAGAGAGCGCTTACAAGTAAGATTTTTTTCTAAATGAGTAGAGATGTCTCATTCCCACATTTTTTAGGTTTTAAAAACGGTTTTGTCTGGTTACAAAGAGGGCGTGATCCAGTTAAGCGAAGTAAAAGAAGTGTCTTCAAGACAAGAGATTGTCGATGAATTGAATCGTAGAGTTGACAGCGAAGATGAGGGAATTATCATTAAAGATCCCGAATCTGTCTATAAATACAGCGATCGAAATAGCGGTTGGTTTAAGATGAAACTCGAATATTTTCAGGTAAAAAATTCGTTTTAAATTTAATTTAGACTCACCAGCACCAATCGAATGTCTGTTTTTAGGATGTCATGAACGATTTGGATCTAATATTAATGGGCGGCAATCACGCAACTTCAACTTCGGACAAATTAAACTCGTTTTTCGTCGGAATAAGATCCGGCAACGCCGCTAACGGCCGGCCCTTATACCTGGCGGTCGGGAAAGTTAGTTCCGGCTTCAATTACGAAGAATTATCTATGTTAAACAAGAAATTGAAGACTGAGGGAAAGACATTCGATCGTTTTGATTCCGATAATTTAGTTTTCGGCAAAGAAACGCCCCATTATTACATAGAACCGGAAAAAACGCTAGTGTTCACCATCAGAGCTTCCGAATTGGTCAGGGATATGAACAACGCGTTCAAAACTCACTACACTTTGAGATTCCCAAGGGTTCTGAAAGTCCGCGACGACAAACCGGTCGACGAATGTCTTTCTATCAACGAACTTTTGGAATTAACCCAAACCAACAAGGCTGTCATCAAGTTGAACAAGAGAAACATCGAGTTGGAGGAGATTTTGAAAACCAAAGTTAAAAAATCGAAAAAGAAAGACATCATAATGCCGGAGGTCATTTACGATTCGACCAAAGTTTCTGACGTCTTGGAGGGCTATAATATTTTGGTGTTGGAGCAAATTGGAAGCAACAAGAAGGAAGAGATCGAAAATTTGGTAAGGAAAGCCGGAGGTAAGTGAAGTAACAGTTATTTTTAATGAAACTGAAGCCAACAGATAAATCGAGCGCCCGTCATTTAAAGTTTCGATATTAAATCAGAACTTATTGTGTATTTTTCAGGTACAATACGCTACATTGCCAACGACAAAGTAGACATCGTTCTAACCTCAAATCGCACCAGTTCGGTCACAAACTTGATAAAAAAACGTCCTAAATTCGATATAATACACACGAAATGGCTACATAGAATGATCCGTGACGGTAATTTATTGGGCTACGACTCGGACGAGATATTCTACATAGGATGGTCGTACAAAAATTGCCTTTCCGACGAACTAGACAAATACGGCGATAGTTTTGCGGAAGAAACCAATATAGAGAAGCTTAAAAAGACTTTCGAGGTCATACGGGATATGGGTGACACTTTTTTGACTAACGGTACCGTTAAATTAGAGGGAAAGAAATATTTGGATCGTTTTACTGCGTGTTTCGATAGATTTTTAACGCCAATGGATGAACAATCTGATATTGTATACGATAGTTTATTGGATGAAATCGAATTCAAATACTTCGGTGGTAAAATCGAAGAAAAAATTACAGAAGTCAATTTGATGATTTTTAATGGTGATGCTGATAGGAGGGGAATTTTGGTTGATTATTTAGAATCGATAGGAAGGAGCGATATTGAAATTGCAACTAGAAGTATTATTTACGATTAAAAAATATAAAAAAGCAATTGGATGTATTTTAAAATATTTTTTTTGTAATTATCTGTGATTAAAAATAAATTAATAAAATGTTGACATATTTTAAAATTTTATTTCAAAAAATTGATTTCAAATGTTTCTGTAGTAAGATCACCAAAAAATTAAAGATATCGATATAAATTTTATTTAAAAGTTTATTCTAGCAACGGACAGAGCACATAATAATTTTGAAAGAAACGCGTGAAGTTGAAGATAGTAAAATACATTGTAAGCAATTCTCGTTTCAAAATAGCTTACAAGTAGCTTACCGTATATCAAAAATATCAAATTTATGCAGATGTTGGAAATACATCCAACCTCTACCGCTAAAATATGAAAGCTAACCCTGTATTTGATTTAACGAAATTTTCTTCGAGTTGATTAATCGAGATATATCATCTCACTCACAAGAGAATCGCAGTTGTGACGTCATAGCCTTTTTTACACTTTGGCGGGAGATAAAACCGGCAGACACAAGCTTTCCTAGCGGAAATAAAAGACTTGTTTGTTTCTCAATACATGTAATGAAAATGATTTCTGCTAGCCGGATTTTTAGTTTTCTATTATTACTAAAATGCGAAACTAGTCATTGGCACCATGATTCTGCGCAGTATATAAGTTGAGGTCCTAATTACTGCACAGAATCCTGATAGCAATGACTGGTTTCTGATCGTTGTTGGAACAAACATGTTAATAAAAATTCAATCTCATGCCACTGCACATCGTCATACAAGGAGAAACCAGGTCAGCTATTCACAGGGTAATGAAGGGACAAAACCCAATAAGCCAACTACATCGCGCCGACCACACAAGGCTATATCAGCAAGTAAAAAGGGATAATATTCCAGCTATGTCTACTGATAGAACATAACCACATACAAATTTGAAAGGAATTTTCAAATTCAAATATCAGCCCGAGAATCCTTGAAACAGGGACCTCTCGTACAGGCTGAACTCGTTTGGTATATAGACGGTTCAAAAACCAAGGAAGGAGCCGGTGATGGAATCTATGGACCCAAGTCGAAAACAACGATTTCCCTGAGTCTAGGAAAATATGCAACAGTGTTCCAGACTGAACTAATAGCCATACAACACTGTGCAAGAGAAATTCTAAATCAGCAAGTATCAGGCAAAACTATTGCCATATACTCTGATAGCCAAGCAGCTCTAAAGGCAATTCTCTCACCAGAAATCAAATCACGACTGGTGAAAGACTGTCTAGAAGACCTGGCAGAGCTAAGTAGTCAAAACAAGGTGACCCTAGCCTGGGTGCCAGGTCATAAGGGATATCAGGGCAACGAAAAGGCAGACGAATTAGCCCGAGAAGGCTCAGATAAGACCAAGACAGACCCCGAACCATCTCGTGGAGTTGCTAAGGCATTCATCAAACAATGGATGCAAAAAGAGTTTCAGGAATGGTGAAACAACTATCCAAGACTGAGACAGGCCAAACAGTTCATCAAAGAACCATCGGCCAAGTTCACGAAAGATCTACTGGATCAAAAGCGTCAAATCGTTAGGATAACAGTAGGTTTTCTTACCAGACACTGTCGCCTTCAAAGGCACATGAATGTCATTAATCCAACAGAAGAAGCAACTTTGTGCAGGTTCTGTGAAGAAGAGGAAACATTCCACGTCCTGTGCCAATGTGAAGGCCTAGCTGGAATGAGGTTTCTAACATTGGGCGAAGAAAAGCCAAATGCATGCAACTACATGCGGAAGCCACTGTCAAAGCAACAAAGTCTAATAAAATAGACCAGGCTAGACGACATACTCTAAAACGGAGTCCCACAGTAGATCTGAAAAGGTCGCGGTGGACAATAACAAATAACGTCCAACTCACAATCTAATCTAATAAAAATTAAAACAGATTTTTTCACTAATATTTCTGGTAACTCTAGATTCTTTACTTGATATCCTTTATTGAACATCACAAGTCAAATATTTCAAATCTTTATTCTTAGTCAGTCTTTGCATGAAATATTTTAAACTAAGGAGGATATACTGGAGCCCTACTTATACTAATATCCTGAAAAGTGTAATTACCTGAAAAACTTACCTAAGATCCTGGATTAGAGAGGTTTATGTCATTACAAATTATTTTGGCCTCTACCAGAATTTAACTAAACTATAATTTGCCTACGATTCTGTAGAAATATATCAAAATGAATAGTATATTAATAACCATTTAATTGCGTCACAAATTGGCACCCAACGTGGGGCTTAACATGTTGCAGATGATAAACAAATTAAGAAAATATTCTTGATAAAATAATTAGCTAAAATTATAATTAATATTTGCAGTAAGTGAACCTAGATTATAAATAGGAGTAAAATCCTTTGAACGACATTTTAATCCCAACGTAGTAGATTAAAATAATTGTAAATTGGATTAAAGTAAAAAATATTATTTAAAAATAGAATGTCGATAAAGTGCTGACTGAAAAAAATTCGGGACGCCATTACGAAAAAATAATCTAAGGTTGGACTTCACTGAAAAGTGAAGAGGTGTTTCTTAAAATTATTGGTCACAAAATTATAAACGTTAATAGGAATATAATCTGGATAGAGCTGCTTTAGAAAGAGAGAGGCGTACCTAGATATCGCGGAAGGGAAAAGTTAGAATTACTGGACTTCTTGTGTCAGCTCGCAATAGCTCCTGTCTAGTTGCAATTTCGAGTTATTTCAGTTAGTATACATTAAAATCCAGATAGACTTAAACACTATTATTTATTACATTATTATAAAAAAAAACTCACCAACAAAATCTGCCCATCGAAATTCGGCGACTCCAATTGCAACGGATTCAACCAAACCGATTCCTCCTCTTGGATAGACTTTTCTACGGACTCGGATCTGGGCGTCCTGCCGCCCTTTCTTTTGGCCTGCGCGACGTTCAAACTAGATTTGGCTTGTCCGATGTTTTCTTGCAATCCCGTCAACCTCAAACCTTTCCTGAGACCCGCTCGGCCGAAATCCAGGATTCCTTCCACCATTCCTGCCGCTTCGTCCTAAATCGTAATTTCGTAAGTATGGAGTTGAAGAAAAACACGAAACTATGGAGAGGTGTTCAGAAAGTTTGGTGAAAAAAAAAAGAAGATATATACAGGGTTTCATTAAGGTTGACCACTGGCTATATCTCGGAAATCAATGGGAAAAAAGAAAAATCATGATTAAAGTGGACATAAGAAAATCCTGGTTATTATTTTTGAAGTTCTGTATTTCGCCGAAATATCACTAGGAGTTTTTTTAGAAATAGAAGGAGCCTTTGATTCGGCTTCATACAATTCAATACTGGGATCTATACACAGGCGTGGAGTAGCCCACTGCATTACGAAGTGGGTCGAGTCCATGCTTAATCATAGAACCATTACTAGTAATCTTCTTAACACAACAAGAGAGGTCTCAGTTAACAAGGGATGCCCGTAGGGAGGAGTGTTATCTCCTCTTATGTGGACCTTGGTGGTTGATGACCTCTTATGAGAGTTAGAGAGAGAAAACCTATGCACGCAAGCATTTGCAGACGACATAAGCATCGTAGTAAACGGGAAATTTAGATCTGTTGTATCCGAAAATGGCAAAAGAGGTTAAATATCTTGGAATCACTCTTAGTAAAAAGCTTAGCTTCTGCAGCCATATAGAAAAAAAAACAACAGAAAAAGCTGTAAGAATACTATGGGCCTGTAGACGGATGGTAGGGAACATACGAGGTGTGATTAAGTAATGAGATCGATTTTATTGCCGTCGTGTTTAGTAGACGGGTGTTGGTGGTGCTCGTCACGAAAATAGAGAAGAAAAATCTAGAGCAACAAGTCGCGATTAAATTTTGCGCAAGATTGTGCGAAACAGCTTCGGAAACGTACACTAAAATCGTAAAAGTGTATGGTGATAGTGTTCTCAGTCGTGCCCAGGTGTTTCGATGGCATAAAGCGTTGAAGACCAGGCGCGGAGTGGGAGACCAGTCGAGGTGCGGACTGACCTTTTTTGATAGCCGTGGAAGTCCATAAAGAATTTGTTCCATTGGGACAAACCGTAAATTAAGTCTACTACCGCTTAGTACTCGAAAGATTGCCAAAACGAGTCAACAGGGTGCGCCCAGACATCGCAAACTGGATCCTTCATCACAACGCGCCGTGCCACACCGCTCTCAGCGTGACCTAATATTTGGCCTCTAAAGGGATCACTGTTTCCACAGTCGCCTTATTCACCTGATATGTCATCCTGTGACTTTGTTCTGTTCCCTAGAGCAAAATCAATGTCAAAGGAACCCATTTTGAGTCGGTTAGAGACATCCAAAAGACCGTGACGAGGGTACTCGCAGACATCCCAGTCGAAGCGTTCCAGAAATGTTGCGAAGCGTGGAAAACGCTATGGAAACGTTGTATAGCTGCCCATGGGGACTACTTTGAAGGGGATGGCAGAGTTGTAGAATAATTTTTAAATATACGGATTTTATGAAATCAGTCTCATTACTTAATTGTCACACCTCGTATGGGAGCTTAAACCAAGTATGATACACTGGCTTTATACCATGGTTATAGTACCTGTTATATCTTACTCATCAGTCATATAGTGGCACAAGACTAAAAGCATAACAGCTAACAGAAAATTAAACAAGGTACAAAGACTAGCCTGTCTAATAATAACAGGGGCATTTAGAACTACGCCCACAGCAGCAATGGAGCTACTGCTAGGTCTTCCTCCACTACACCTTATGGTGAAGAAGGAGGCTATGGCGGTGCATACAGGCTATTTACTAATGGATTTGGATAAGAAATTTCGAGAAAAGGACACCACACAATAATATTAGATAAATTAAAACAAAATCCGGTACTAAGAATACCATTGAATAGAACGGCCATTATTCACGACTTCAGGAAACTTGGGATCTACCATGTGAACTCAAGGAGGACAAATTAGTCTGAACCTGGGGTCACTGACAAGAGTCTTCCAGGTTGAAGTAACAGCAATAAATGAATGCGCCAAAGTCATGCTAAATGACTCTTTTAGAGATAAGAGGGCCTTTATCGTGACAGACAGTCAGGCAGCCCTTAAAGCACTGAAATGGGTAGAAATACAATTTAAATCAATACTTGATTGCCAACAGTCCCTCCAGGCCCTGGCAGAACATAACAAGTTCAATCTTGAATGGGTGCCAGGCCATGAGGGAGTGTTTGGAAACGAGAAAGCAGACATCCTAGCAAGAAAGGGAGCGGAAAAATCTCTTACTGGACCAGAACTCACATGTGGTATCTCATACCAACATGTTAAATAGGTGAAAAAGAAACAAATAAATAGAGAACACCATAGGCTCTGGTTGGAACTTCCTGGGCTTAGACAGTCCAAAAGATTCATAGGGGGCCCATCCACGAGCAGACAAAATCAACTGCTAAACCTTAGCAGAAGCGAACTCAAGGCCGTAATAGGACTCCTTACGGGACACTGCGGCCTTAGAAGACACCTAAATCTCTTAGGGATATCTAATGACTCCATATGTAGAATATGTGAAGAGGAGGACGAAACTCCTATTCACATACTATGCCACTGTCGGAACCTTAAATGGGAACGGGAATGGTACTTCGGGGTACAATATCCGGAACCTGAAGAAATCACGAAAGCGCCCAGCAGACATATTCTTGAATTCATCAAGAAAATCAATCTGATGGGATAGACACTGTGAGGGGTACAATAAGCCTAGAGCTTTAGTACAAGTGTGCTTTGAACCACGCCCTAATTTAGATAGATAGCTATTTTCCTAGGTTGTCGTGCGCGCGTGTGGCACCTATTTGGCAGATTGTATTCCCCGAAAATATCGTCAGTTTTGCTATTTCCAACCTCGTAAATGGACAATCCATGAGTATAAGGTGGGGAATATGATTTAGGGAAACCACGAAATCCTAATGAATTTTTAATTATATGATTGGGAAGGGTTTTATCTTATGCTTAGGGGGGCTGATTCCTGGAGTTCAGCGGTGAGGGGAAGGTCTTGGGTGGTCTGACAGTAGTCTTAGATTTGGTTGCGGCATTTTTCTTTTCGGTTTTCGAAAAAGTGGGAATCGGCGTGGGCACCATGGGGTTTGTAGCGTGTCTTTGGAGTGTGTGTTGGTGTCTTTCAGCGTACTAGAGACGTAGTTTCCTGAGGGTTTGAAAACGTGGTGAGGATGGGGGTGTTGGAGATGTTTTCGAAGACTTCTCCGCTGGGAAAACGTAGGGGAGGTATTGGCAACGTCTGAGTATACGTCTCTCGAGTGTGGTGAATTTGTGGGCCAGGTGTGCGAGAAGTACGCCGTAGGGTACAGCTCTGTACTCGGCAACGGGGCGGATAAAGGAATTATAAGTGTGAATTAGGTTGTTTGTATTGCAACGCCCCATTCGTCCGCACAAAGCCCCAAGGAGGCTGGCTCGTTTTCGCATCTTATCAAGAGAGCGTTGGACATCAGAGGACCAGTTGAGCGTACGAGAGAATCGCACCTCCAAATATTCAACTTCAGTCTGTTGAGCGAGCCTGACTCCCAGGAGATTTACATTTATAAGTTGGGGGTTCTGGGAGGTTCCTTAAGAATTTGGGTGTTTAAAGACGATACATTATGTTTTCTGTGGATTTAATGAGACCCTCCATTTGCTACACCAGTGAGAATACTGGTTTAACAGATTTTGGGTTCGAGTATTTAGTTGGTTAGAATTTTTGAAACTAGAAGAATGTGAATTAAATCATAGTCTTTAACAAGCAATAGAAAGTGATAGTTTACCTTAAAGTCGGAGAAATCTAGATTTTTAAATTGCGCTCTCTAGTGGTAAATGCAAAACTTAAAAATAATTTTCAGGATTTTCTCATGGCTTAAATCATGCATTTCTTTTCTCTAAATATCTATATTTTGAAATATGGCCGGTGGCCAACCTTAATGAAACATTCTGAATATTTTGAGGTGTTTAAGTGTACTGGAAATTTGTTATTCTCCCAGTATACATTTACCAAACTTTTTAAACTATCGTGTCATTTATAGCTACAAAACTATTTCAGCAAAGTTATGTACGATAATCTTAGGTGCACCTGGTGTATATAAAAGTATATAAATTATTACTTTCAACATTTGGTCATGCCAGTAGACATTTTCGTTGTTTTGGGCAAACTAGAATCGTTTATTTGAAATAACGTCAAATTGAGAAGTCTACTATAGTAGAACATGGTTTCTCTGCATTCATAGTAAAGAGTAAATGCTATTGCTGTAGCATCAGCAGCTATTTCATGCAAGTATCCAAGAATATCTAAGATATTTAGTGCTTCAAATTCGACGATAATTGATTTATGAAATCTGTTGAAAGGTGGACACGCTGAACTCTACAGCACTTACGCCTCGGTAAATCCATTATGCATCCTATACATAGCTCTATTTGATAAAAAAAATGTAAATAAGTCAACTGTCATAATATAATCATCAGTTCTCATAGTCGTCTATAATTATATTAAACTTTGCTGAAATAGTTTTATTATAAGAAAACTGTAACATTATGAAAAGAGCATAAGCTGTACAAAAAAAGAAAGTATAAACAGGTAATAACAATTCAAAAAAAAAGCCTAAGCGAAGAAAAATTTATAAAGAAAAAAAATCGAACTTCCATGCAACATCATACCTTTTGCTGTATAACAGGAATGTTATGAGTTGTGTAACAGTGTGAACGTATTTTTTTATTTTTGGAAAGAGACAGAAACATTTAATATCGAATATTTACAAAATAATAATGCAATTTTTACCTGATATTCTCCGATTTTATTCAAAGCATTATTCATAGTCGATTCCTGTAAATCCTTGATATTGTGGAGCGTATGTACAGTGGCGTCACCTAAAAATTAAAAAGTTATAAACATAAATATAATTAGTGTTAAAAATTAAATATAGCGGCTCCGGAACGGAACCTTGAGGTACTTACTTATAGGTTTCATGGAACTTTTTAGTCCCTCCATGGTATTATGGGTAGACATTTTGACTTCGTTGAGTAACAAATTAGCTGAATCTTCCACATGCTCAATTTTACCTGAAACATATCGATCAAAGATAAAATGTAAAACGATAAACATTGGATGTTACTTTTAACGTTCTCCATTGCTATGGGTAGGGCTTCCAAAGGATCGTGCCCGAGTGATATGCCGAAAGCGAGATCTCTTGTGTCCGAATAGGTTTTTGTACTCCTGGTGAGTTTGGCTTCGTGTATTTTGACCGGCGCAGATTTATCTTTAGGTTGCGTTTCTTTCACTTCTTCAGCGCTATCGACTTTCTAAAAAATATCGTTATTCCATCATACTTTACCACTGATATATCTTTGTATATCTTACCCTATGAATTTCTGACTTCTTGTTCGACTTGTGTTGAGCAAGTACTCCATTTTTACGCTTTTTAACATCCCCAATATCAGAAACTTTTTCTTCTATCCTCAACGTTTCTTCTACAACTATTTTATTACCGGAATGTGTCGAAATTTTACACTCCTCAGTACTTTTTTGCTCTATTGAATTTTGTTCGGATTTCTTTTTGGAATCAGCCACGTCGTAAAAAGTGGTTAAAGATATTCTACTGTAATTTCCCAGATTGTATTTTTCTTTGACTATTTTAGAAGCTAACGTGTTCAGTAATTGGTAGTTTATTATTTCGGGGTTGGAGATGAGGTTTAAAAGGAATAGTATCAGTTTTCTGGATATGATCGATACGAGTACTTGACAAGGCAGCGAATTCCATAGTTCGGAATTTATGAAATGTCTTAAAACGTTCGCTGTCAGCTGCTGAACGAAACGGTCTTGGATTTTTGGATTCGAACCGATTATGTGGGAATATCTAAAACAAATTGACTCAATAAACTCAAGTTTTACCACTATTTTGTGACCTTGAAAGTGTCTGACAGACATTATCCCCCGCGAAAATTATATTTTCCAGTTGACCATATTAAAAAATCAACATGTCATAAAAATAAGACTAGCTTAACAGTAAAGATTTTTTGTTATAAGCCAAGTGTAATAATTTTGTTGGATGGTGGTTGTGATTTTTCATAATTGCTGATAAATAATGATCCAAACAAGTTTTTCAAGCAACATTTTTCTGTTTTTTAAAAATATTGATTTATTAAATTGTGCATAAAAAGGTTATTTTTTATCGATTTTGATGAAAATCAGCAAAACAATGCCGAGACTGTTTTAGATTTTCTTTGGGTTATCAAAACAGAGAATTGTTAATTTATTTAATTTCTGGTTACTCCACTGTCTAAAGGTTAGACACAAAGATATATTTTGTGACTACACAATGTTGCCAACCTGTGGTAATTTTTCTATATCATGAGAATTTTGATTACAAAAATAGGAAAAATAAAATAAACTTTATGTGAGTTTCCCAGTGAATTGTATATTTAAAATGGAATGTCAATATCGTCGGGTGCACGTGGTGGAAATAGTCCTCTAAGGCTGCTAAAAATGTAGCAAAATGTAAAAAACAAAACCTAAATATTTCAAAAACCCTATTTTTAGTTTTTTTCTACTCCATCTAATCAATAAATAATAATATAATTCGAGAATTGTTGTTGAGGTCTTATTTTCTCGTAAGACACTGTACAATACTCACATTTTAAAAAAAAAATCTCAAAAATTTGCACGGTAAGGTATAGTTAAAAGTTCAACATTAGATAAATAAGGACTTCAAATATTAGAAAAAAAAATAAATTTTAGTCATAATCTAATATTTTTTATTTAACATTGGTGGCGAAAGGACCTCCTTAAAGAGCCTACACTGTTGATATATAAAATAAACAATATTGATCCCAATATTGACCCTCGCGGAACTCCCATATGTGGATTAGAGTTAATTTCTTTAGTTTTGTTGTCTATTTTAAAGTTCAGAGATATATATTGCTGTCGGTTTAAGAAAGGTGGAGATCCATTTTAAAGAATTGCCTCTAATTCCATATGTCTCCTGTCGAATGCCCTACTTAAATCACAGAATATCGTCACAGGGCACTCGGCTGCTTCAATATGTTCAATAATCTGATTATAAAATGAGATCATGGCTGTTGCTGTTGACTTTTCTGCACAAAATACATGTTGATTTTTTATGAATATTTGATATAGTTTTAAAAATGATAAAAGGCGATCTAGAAATGCATATTCGAATATCTTAGATAATCCACAGGGGACTGTCACAGGCCTATAATTTTCGAATGACATCGAATCATATTTTTGTGTAATGGCAACACTTTACCAGCATTTTTTGTTCTTTTTTTTTTTAGAAGAAGAAGCAATTGAGGTAGGGAGAATAGCTGTTTGATGTGAGGAATTACAATTTTCAATTTCACAATTATAATACAAGAAATCGGACTAATTTTCATATTCGACATGTTTAAGTAGGAGTGTCCAAAACTTCGTCTTTGTCAAGGGTCTGCAGGCTTACAATAAGTTACCAGTTGAAATTAAAAATGCTACCTCATTAAATAATTTTAAATATAAACTTAAAAACTATATTATGATGACACAAAGGGTATAAATAAAAAAAAAAAGATTTTAATTGTAGATATATATATAGAGAGATTTTAATTGTAGATATACATTTAATTTTATATTTTACATGTATATACATATTTTTTTTATTCATAGTTAGACACTAATTTATTTGTTTTTTTTTTTCTATTCATATTTAGACGCTATACATAATAGGGTGCTTCATTTTCAGGCAATATATTTTTTTTTCTCTGTGCTACCTGAAAATCTAAAAATTTATAAAAAATAAAAAATTATGCCGCCGGGTAAAAGGTTCTAAATGCAATAGTGACTTAGCTCATTCAAAAATTCGATTTCCTATTTAAATAACAGAAAAAAAAATTTTTTTTTGTTTTAATTTAATTTTTCGATATTAAAAAAAAATTTTTAAGAAAAACCCTTGAATAGCTTTTGTAGGGCATAAAATTCGCTACAAAAAGTTTCTCTGAGTAAATCCTCTCCAACCAACAGTTTTTGAGTTATAGAGTTAGAAAGATGAATATTAATTGAATCGGTGAGTGAAAGAACAATACATATCCAAAATGACCATTTTGAGAAAAACAAAAAAAACTATTTTAAAGGAGAACTATGGGTTATTCGGCCTAATTATGTATTGTGAAGTTATAGAATTTTTGTTAACCGATAATAATATGTACATAAATTTAAAAATAAAATTATGCAAAATATGATATTTGAAAAAAAATGACTTGCAGTTATACTGTTCTTTCACTCAATTTAAAAAAAATGCTTTAATTTTTTTTTGTAGCTTTATTGATTATTATTTAACAAACTTATTTGTAATTTTTTAATCAGAATCTTCATTTTTGACTTTCCAATAAATAATATATGGTAGTAAAACTCTAGGATTTCATCATTTAAGTAGAATAAAAGTATCTTTATATTGGCTATTTTCTTTACGTTAATAGGGACAACTTCTGAGTATGCCTTTTCTAAAGGCGAGCATACACGTAACGGTCTACCGGACAAGCCTACCTGTGCAGGTATGCCTGCGCAGGTCGGCTTTATGTCGTAGCGTGCATGTCTACCTGTGCAGGCACACCTGCACATACAGACCGTAGCGTGTATGCCAGCCATAAGGGTAACTGCAGATTGGCATTAGGTTTGATATCAGTCTAATGCGCCCCACACATAAAAGTGTGCGAGAGAAAACCGCCTATGAAGGCACTTGTAGTAACATATCCAGAAGTTTTACCAGTGTATGTAAACTGGCTATACTGTGGAATGACAAAATTAGCTTTTTGTTCATCAGCTGATTTAGAGGTTTTTTATAAAAGTGCGACCACCAGTTTTTGAAATCTGTGTTAAATTTGTCTACGAAACGACATGGCTACTGAGTGAAAAAACAGTACATACGCCGTACTTGTACTGTTCTTTCACTCAACCGAAAATTGAACAAGCCCCCATCGCTCGTATGATGTTGGTTTCTGTATTATTCTTTCGCTATGTGATAGGCCTATGAATTTTAAACAATTTGCCTATCTCAGTTAAAATTACCGTTTTTGGCACTTGTACTGTTCTTTTACTCACCGATTCAATTATATTTCACATCAAATCTTCTTTATGTTAAAATTTATTAACAATTATCAACAATCAATACTAGTCAATACGATTGAAGAGCAAAAACTTCTGTTTACATCAATGGAAGTATAAACGAAGTCAAGAGTAGCGTCACTGTGGTTGGAAATTAAACTAAAAAAATTGAAAATGAGAATATAAACAAAAACTTAAATTTTAACATATTGATAATTTGATTATATAATGATTATTAATTGAAATTTATATTTATTAAATTAATTTAAAACTAGTTTTTGGAATTAAAAACCCTATTCACATTACGACTCAACTGTAGCGTCCTAATGTTTATAATAAGTTATTATTATATGTAAAAATAATAAATTTTAGTTTAAAGAAGATTTGATGTGAAATATAATTGATATTCATCTTTCTAGCTCTATAACTCAAAAACTGTTAGTAGGAGGGGATTGACTCAGAAAAACTTTTTGTAGCGAATTTTATGCCCTACAAAAGCTATACACAGGTTTCTCCTAAAAAAATATTTTTTTAATATCGAAAAATCAAAGTGAAACCAAAAAAAATTTTTCCTATGTTATTTAAAAGGGAAATCGAATTTTTAAATGAGCTAAGTCGCTATTGCATTTAGAACCTTTTACCCGACGCGCAACATTTTTAATTTTTTATAAAATTTCAGATTTTCAGGTAGCACAGAGAAAAAAAAATTGCCTAAAAATGAAGCACCCTAATACATAATGTACAAACTATACTTATTGTTGTAAAAACTGTACTATTTTTGTATTAGCAAAGCTAAATAAAGAATTTTAATTTGGAATTTTACTGTACTCAAGTTTTTATCTCTATTTCTTGTATATTTTGCATTGTTTTCTTTTTTTATACTCTATATGAATTGTCAATGAGATCTAAATCTTCCTACAATAAAGCGTATATTAATTCATAGGAGCTTGCGATGTTTAAAAAAAGTTTCATTTTATTTTTATTAACATATATGACTCAACCAGCCTGTATCAATTTTAAATTTGAATTGGCGTTACCAACTTTGTTTTTTATTTTTTCTGGAGGAGAGTAATAAAAATTCAGGACATAGGTATAAATTCTGGACATTTTTATTATTGCAAAAACAATAACAAACTTAAATAAACAATCCTAAAAAAAGTGATAAAAACAATGATTCTTTGGGTAAATAGAATCGATATTTAAAAAGAATATAAAAATTTGCCAATGTGACTATAAAATATAAGAAATTGGAGATATTATTTGGAACACTGATGTTAGGTAGAATAAGAGTCCTGTAATAGGTTGCTGCAGGACACTGACAATGCAATCCAAATGGTGGCCGTCCATCGAAATGCAGGATGGTTGGCAACTCTAATTTGAATACCTAGTGGTTTTCACTGTTTATAAAAAATAATAAACCATGATAAAATACGATAATTTTGACCACAGTGTACGATATTTGGAGCCAAGTGACCTGACAACACTCGCACATTGTTTAAAATCATTTTTTAAAATATCAGTTAGTGAAAACATTGTAATAAGTTTAAGTATCTAATTTATTTGAAGTGATCAAAAGCCTAAATAATTAATCAATGATCAAAACCTGTTTTTGTCCACTTACCTGTACAAATCTTCAACATTTCCATCATACTTTTCTCTCCTCTTAATACTCCTGCGATACTCTTTCAAATGTCTGAGAAAAATATTCAAAACACCCTGTGTAAGCACCTTACTGCTTACGCAAGCTTGTACTTCAGCGAACCGTTTTATAACGTCTTCCAAAAATAATTTAGATTTCTCAGGAAATTCTTTGTCAGCACTTACGTAGATGTACCATTTGCTAATGAAGTACTTATCTATATCTTCAACTAAAAGTGTTACCTTTTTAGGATCGGGGGTAACGTCTCCTCTAGTTCTTTTCAACGTTTTACCGGGTTTCGTGAATTGAATGGGATCGTTTCTTTGCAGCAATTTGTGTAGATAGAAGAACGTTATCGAAAGCGATCCGAACCAAATTAAAATAGAAACAAATAGAAATGTAATTCCGCTTACAGGTAACACATTAACGAACGTGTTTAACACAGAAATTGATATTAAAATCCCGAAACCCAATACGATAATCTTCCAATCCAACAATACGTCTACTAAAATGGACATTTTTTTCATATTTTTGGGTTATCGATCGATTTATTGCCGATACGCTTGGCGTATTAGCTTAAAGTAACACATTGTTGTAACATTTCCGTGATTCATTTATCGTGATAACAACTATATTGCATAGAAAACTGATAAATTACTTTATTTTCACAAGTACTCGCATATTGTTTACAAAATTGTAGTAGGCGGAAAGATGTCAATATTGTCAATGTCAAACAATGGGATTTAAAAACGAGCGGCAACCACGAATACACTCAAATGTAATACTGGTTGCTAGCAAAAAGGCGTTGAAATACATTAAAACGGTTATAATTGTCGTTTGGTTTATAATGTTGAAAATTGAAGATAATATTCGTGTTTGGAGCACAAGATCGGTTTATATTAAACTGATATATTACTGTTTCAACTAGTACTGCCATATTATTTAAAAATTGTAGTAGGCGAAAGATATCTGGCAACCATGAATACAATCGAGTGTAAAACTGGTTGGCTATAACTAGGTGTTACAATTTTCCCTTTTTTTGTAAAGAAAAAGAAAATAATCGAGTTTAGAACAAAAAAAAGAACGGTTTTTAATAAAAACTACTATATTAACTACATTTTTTTCATTCGACATCACTTATTTTTTTAGCTATACTCTGTAATTCGTTATGTATTCCGACGCCGTTGTTGTTGCTGTTTTTGTCCGTTTTCAGGATTTCCTCTTGAGACAATTTCGAATGCGAATGACAGAACCGCGATTGAGCTTTCTTGACAAGAAAAAGAAATAACAGCGGGAACGGCGTCAATACCGCCACTGATACAGGAGCAACTAAAAAAAAAAACAAAACATAATCTTACTAATTATAAAACAGCCACCTGGCCAACCGGATTTAACTACCGGTGATTTTTTGAACGGCTATCAGGATGACCCGATTTAACCCTCTTTGATTTTTTAACGACCACCATGATAACCTGATTTAATCTCCTTTGATTTTTTTAACAGACACCATGATAACCCGATTGAACCCATATGATTTTTTAACGGCTATAACGGATATAACCGAACTGGCTTTTTTACAGCCATCAGGATGGCCCGATTTAACCTCCTTTGCTATTTTACAGACACCAAGATGGCCCGTTTTAACTCCTTAATTTTTTTTGATTGGCCACCAGAATGACCCGATTTAAACCCTTTTGATTTTTTACAGTCACCAAAATGACGAGATTTAACCGTTTAATTTTTTAATGGCCACCAGAATGGCCCGATTTAACCATCTTTAATTTTTCGAATGGCCACCCGGATAATCTGATTTAAGTTATACTTTGAGTTGTTTTTATGGCCGGCAGGATTACCCGATTTAAGCAATTTCAACCTTTTAAAACAACCATCAGAATGACCAGATTTAACCCACTTTGATTTTTAGAATGGTCACCAGGATGCCCCGATTTACCCCTTTGATTTTTTTTGAATGGCTACCAGAATGTGACCCGATTTAAACCGATTTGGTTTTTTACAGCCACCAGAATGACACGATTTATCACCCTTGATTTTTAACGGCCACCAGGATGGTCTGATTCGACCCCTTGATTTATTTTTAGACAACTATCAGGATGAATCAATTTAACCCACTTTCATTTTTCTAATGGCCACCTAGATGGCCCAATTTATCCCACTTTGATTTTTCTAATGGTCACCCAGATAACACAATTTAACTTACTTTGCGTTTTTATGGCCACCAAGATGGCCCGATTTAACCCCTTTGATTTTTTTAACAGCCACCGGTATGACCCGATTTAAACCCATTTAGTTTTTTACTGTCACCATAATGACCAAATTTAAATCCATTTAGTATTTTACAGCCACCAGAATGGCACGATTTAACACCTTTTATTTTTTTAACGGCCACCGGGATGGCCCGATTTAACCCCTTTGATTTTTTTAACAGCCACCGGTATGACCCGATTTAAACCCATTTAGTTTTTACAGTCACCAGAATGACCAAATTTAAATCCATTTAGTTTTTTACAGCCACCAGAATGGCACGATTTAACACCTTTTATTTTTTTAACGGCCACCGGGATGGCCCGATTTAACCCCTTGGATTATTTTTAAAGAACCACCAGGATAAATCAATTTAACTCATTTTGATATTTTTAATTGCCACCAAGATGACCCAATTCAACCCACATTGATTTTTCTAATAGCCACCCAATTCAAGTTTCTTTGCGTTTTATGGTCACCAGGATGGCCCGATTTAACTCCTTTGATTTTTTTTGAGCAGTCATCAAGATGGCCCGGTTTAACCATTTTGATTTTTTTGAACAGCCATCAAGATGGCCTGATTTAACCTCTTTGATCTTTTCGAACAGCCACCGGAATGACCCGATTTAAACCCATTTAGTTGTTTACAGCCACCAGAATAGCACGATTTAACACCCTTTATTTTTTTAACGGTCACCAGGATGGCCCGATTTAACCTCTTGGATTATTTTGTAAACAACTACCAGGATGAATTAATTTAACCCACTTTGATTTTTCTAATGGCCACCCTGATAACCCAATTCAACTTTCTTTGTTTTTATGGTTACCAAAATGGCCAGATTTAACTCCTTTGATTTTTTTGAGCAGCCATTAGGATGGCCCAATTTCACTGCTTTGATTTTTTGAACAGCCACCAGGATGGCCTGATTTAAACCCCTTTGATATTTACGACCACTAGGATGGCGCGATTTAACCCCTTTGATTTTTCTTATGGTCACCAAGATGGCCCAATTTAACTTTCTTTGCGTTTTTATGGCCACCAGGATGGCCCGATTTAACCAATTTGATTTTGAACAACCATCACGATGCCCCGATTTGAAACCCTTTGGTTTTTTTTACGACCACCAGTATGGCCCGATTTAACCCCTTTCATTTTTTTGAACAACCATCAGGATAGCCCATTTTAACCCCCTTTGATTTTATTGCTCATCAAAGCGGCCCTATTAACCCCTTTATTTATTCTTGAACGGCCACCAGGATGACCAGCTTTGACATAGTGATAATTTTTAGGAAAAATTAAAAATACGCACCTGTCGTGAGATCCGCCTCCGGTTGCGACAACGCAAACCTTAACAAAAATATCGCTATGCCGGTATTCTGGATGCCGACTTCGATGGCTATAGTGAGACAATCGGTAGGATTTCTTCTCAACAGTTTAGCTATGAGGTACCCAGAAAGATAGCCCAACCATGGTATTCCCATACCAGCGAGAATTATCTAAAAAAAATCAAATATTAGAATTCAATGTGAGAGAAAAATAGCCAATATATTATCCTGATTTGAGTCCATTATGTTTTTCAATGAAATGGTATAAACATTATCAAAATGTTAGAAATTGGAAGAAACAAAAATTAAAATAAAAAAATAGTGTAGAAAGAGTTAAAAAGAAAAATATTTAAAAAAGAAATATAGATTAAAATATATAGATAAAAAAATAGAACAAAAAAAGAGTAAACATTAAACGAAAGAAAAAACAAAAACGTTTAAAAACCGACAACGCGTTTTCCTTATTTGATTCTTTTAGATTTTACATCGGAATGGCATACACGTTATCAAAATATTGAATACGAAATGAAAAAACATAAAATCCTTAAATAAATAAAAAAATAAAAATAAAAACGTATAAAAACACGAACATGTTTTATTAATTTGATTACTTTAGATTTTTCATCCGGATGGTATGAAAGTTTTCAAACTGTTAGAAATCGAAACAAATAATAACGGACAAAAAACAAAAAAAGTTGTGTAAAGAAATTTAAAAAAATTATAAAATAAAATATTAAAAAATGTATAAAATAAATTGTTTAAAAAATAATAAATAATAATAAAATATTATATAAAAAGAAAAATGGAATATAAAATGAAGATACAAAAATTAATATAATAAGAAAACGTAAAATCCCACATTAAATAAAAAAAAAACTAAATAACAAAATCCTTCAATCCAATTTTTATTAAATAGATTTGTTTTTATAAAACTTGTTCTTACCTTCCACGAGAATAACTGGAACAAATACATGTTGGTAACGATAGCGAAAATTATGATAAAGATAATCAGCAGCGAAGAAAATCCTTTGATGATTCTCGTCATAAATTGAGCGACCCTATTCAAGTACCTCTGAATCAGGTAACCGATTGCTAGCGGCACTATCAGCGCTATCACGTACGTCATTATTTCCTTATAGGGTACTTTGAGCTTGGCATTGTTGAATATTAGTCGTCCTGAAAGTGTTCCAATCAGAATTAAGCATATTTCGAAAAATAAAAAAAAAAAACATATAAAAACAAAAATAATTCAGAAACAGTAAGAAAATTGGCATGTACGATACTGAAGTAAGAGTTTTTGATAACTTTTAATATGTTGCTGTTTTTCATTTTGATTCAAGTTTTGCAATCATAAAAAATATTTATTAAGAAATATTAAGAAAAATTAAGAAAAATTAAGAAAAATTAAGAAAAATTAAGAAAAATTAAGAAAAATTAAGAAAAATTAAAAAAAATTAAGAAATATTAAGAAATATTAAGAAATATTAAGAAATATTAAGAAATATTAAGAAATATTAAGAAATATTAAGAAATATTAAGAAATATTAAGAAATATTAAGAAATATTAAGAAATATTAAGAAATATTAAGAAATATTAAGAAATATTAAGAAATATTAAGAAAAATTAAGAAAAATTAAAAAAAATTAAGAAATATTAAGAAATATTAAGAAATATTAAGAAATATTAAGAAATATTAAGAAATATTAAGAAATATTAAGAAATATTAAGAAATATTAAGAAATATTAAGAAATATTAAGAAATATTAAGAAATATTAAGAAATATTAAGAAATATTAAGAAATATTAAGAAATATTAAGAAATATTAAGAAATATTAAGAAATATTAAGAAATATTAAGAAATATTAAGAAATATTAAGAAATATTAAGAAATATTAAGAAATATTAAGAAATATTAAGAAATATTAAGAAATATTAAGAAATATTAAGAAATATTAAGAAATATTAAGAAATATTAAGAAATATTAAGAAATATTAAGAAATATTAAGAAATATTAAGAAATATTAAGAAATATTAAGAAATATTAAGAAATATTAAGAAATATTAAGAAATATTAAGAAATATTAAGAAATATTAAGAAATATTAAGAAATATTAAGAAATATTAAGAAATATTAAGAAATATTAAGAAATATTAAGAAATATTAAGAAATATTAAGAAATATTAAGAAATATTAAGAAATATTAAGAAATATTAAGAAATATTAAGAAATATTAAGAAATATTAAAAAAACGTTAAAAAGTGTTAATCTTAAAAAAACGTTAAAAAATATATTTAAAAAGATTTATTCTTTAAATAAAAATAATCATCTTATTCTTAATGAAGTTTATTTAAAATCTAAAAGGAATCCTAAAATTCTTAATGTTTTAAAAAAACGGTTTTATTAAAACAGTTCATAAACTTTAAATTTGAGTAAATAAATTATAAAAAATTGATGCGGACTTTAAAGTTGACACTGTATAAAAAATGAGAAATAAAAAAACTATAAATTAAAAAACAAGAAGAACCTCTAAAAAATTACATAACAAAAACATAAAAATTTAAAATTAAAAAATAAATACAAAATTACGAAAAAAATAAAAAAAAAACCTACCTAAAGTAAAAATCCACAAGGGCATGAGTCCAAATGCGGCGATCGTGCTGGCGGCTGTCATCGAAATGGACAAACTTAAATTTCCTTCCAACAGTACCGCCCACACGTTGGAAGCCCCACCTGCCGGGGATACTCCCGTGAAAAATAGACCCAATTGCATTTCATGGTTATCGGGAAACAGTAACAATCCTAGTCCGTAACTAAGCTAAAATTAAAAAGAAAAAATAATAATTATGTGAGTTTATTTTTTTAATATCGTACCAAAGGCATAATGACAAAATGGCCGAACAATCCGATGCTGGGTCCGACCGGTCTCTTTAAAATATTTTTGAAATCGCCCCAATCCATCGCGCAACCGAAATTGACGTACAGTATGCTGACCAGCGTCGCGACGCTGGCAGTGAATATGGTGTCTATCAAGCGTTTCTTTCTGATCACTATTACTTTTAGAGGATCTTCCGATAATTCGGCAGAATTTTTTTTCCTGCAGGATATTACCGTTTTACCTAAAAGAAAACAAACGAGAATAATGAACAATATTTCGGTTTTTTATATTAGAAAAAAATTTAAAAAGAGGCAATAGAAACAAAAAAAGAAAAACAAGAAAAGGAAAAGAAAAAAAAAAGGAATTGAAAAACAAAAGAACCAAAAAAAAAAAAACAAAAAAAACAACAACAAAATATATATAAAAACAAGATATTACTCGTAACATAACATTTCTATAAATTGTTACTAAAAATTGTGTATCTACTCGTATATTAATATTATTAGGAAAACAATTGTAAAATACTGTCATGAAAATTGCTAAGCCGTCTCTGTCTAAAGCAAGCAACCTTCAGCTTGCCACCCGACTCATGCTCGAAACGACGGAATCTTCTAGGAATGCCGCTGACGCTCGAGAAACGGTTAGAACGGGCGGATCGTACCGTTGAGTCAGAGATGGAATTTTCGGGAGCGTCTAGAAACTTCTCGTAGCAGAGTTGGACTTGGTATAAATAGCCCTACTTATCGGCGGACAATTTAGTTTAGTAAAAAGTAAAATCGTAATAACTAAATTGTATATAGTGTGTTTTAAATAAATAAACTCTAAATAAATTAAACTATCGTTACATTGGTGTTAGAAGTGGAACTATAAATAAATAGTGGACAATCATGGCTAAAAAACTGTGTGATTTAAAAGTGCCTGAGATACGTCGATAATTAGAAGAACGTGAACTGGAGACGACAGGGAAGAAATCAGAGCTGGCAGAACGACTTAAAAAAGCACTAGAAAATGAAGGTTTGGATCCGGAAACGTTTCTATTTTCCGACGGTGCATCTGCTATAATTTCTTCCGATATGGAAAGTAAAATGTCTTCTATGAAAACTGATATTTCTTCATTATATAGTAAATTTTCCTTGCATGGAAACTAAAATTTCTTCTGACATTAGTTCCTTAGAAAGTAAAGTTTCTTCAGATATTTCTTCCTTAGACAATAAAGTTTCTTCCTTAAAAGACAAGGTATCTTCCAACATATCTTCTTTAAAAACCGAAATTTCTTCCGATTTGGAAAACAAACTGTCTTCTCTGAAAAATGAAATTTCTGCGGATGTGGAAAATAAGATGACTTCCGTTGAGGGGAAAATAAAAGAGATGGAAAAGAAGATAGAAGAACTGGAACATTCAGACCCGGCCAAGGACGGTGAAATAAAGTGTCATGAGGTGGAGTCAAAGTTAAAATTGGAAGGAGCTGTAAACTCTGCTCGTGTTAAAGACCCAACCTTTGACGGAAAGATGCCATGGACCAACTACTTTAAACAGTTCGAAATACCTGCGAAAGCAAACGAATGGTCCGAGGGAGAAAAGGCAGTGAATCTGACAATCGCCCTTCCAGGAGACGCTTTAGATGTCCTTCAGACTATACCCGTAGAAGAGACAGATGATTTTGAGCAACTCAAAAAGAGACTAAATATGTGATATAGCCACGAACATTTGGAGCATAAATACCAATCACAGTTAAAGAATCGCAAACAGAAACGAGACGAGACCCTTCAAGAATATGACTTTAAGATCGAACATAGAGCCGGAATAAGTCACAGAAATGCCGATTCTCTTTCTAGAAGACCGTGTCCAGCAGAGTGCTCCCACTGCAACAAAGTGGAATCCAAAGAAAGTGGACTACTAAGAACAACTGTAGTCAACGGTGAGTGGGCCCTTGCTAAACTTAGGAAAGAACAAGAGAACGATCCCGTTTTAAAGAAGATAAGACTATGGAAAGAGGAAAATCGTCGACCTACTTGGTAAGAAGTATCTAAACTCTCTCCAGTAGTTAAATCACTCCTTTATCCTGGAAGACGGCTTATTAAAGCGAGTACTTGAAAATGATGATGGTTCCGAGAACACAAGACAGTTGGTCATTCCAAGGAGTAGAATATCCGAAGTACTTCGTCAGTTACACGACAGTCCATCAGGAGGACATCTCGGTGTTAGGAAAACCCTTCAGAGAGTTTGGGAAATGTGAAGAACAATTCTGATGATGTAAAGGACTGGTGTAAGAAATGTATCACCTGTGCTATGAGTAATGGACCTCAACGAAAAATGAAGGCTCCCATGAAGCAATATAACGTTGGTAGACCATTTGAGAGGATCGCCTTAGATATTGCTGGACCATTCCCCGCCACCTAGAATGGTAATAAATACATGATGATGGTTATGGATTATTTCACGAAGAGGCCGCAACTGTTGCAGATGTGTTGTTATAAGAGTTTATTTGTTGATTTGGAGTGCCCTTGGAGATCCACAGTGACCAAGGCAGAAATTTTGAAAGCCAACTCTTCCGTGGAGTCTGTGACCGATTAGGCATGAAGAAAACCAGAACCACAGCATTGCACCCACAATCCGATGAAATGGTAGAGCGTATGAATAAGACCATTGGAAAATATCTGTCAAAAGTGGTTTCAGACCATCAGCGAGATTGGGATCAGTATCTTTCGCTCTTTGCCATGGCTTATAGAGCCGCTGTCAATGAATCAACAGGCTAAACACCAGCAAAGGTCTTGTTTGGGCGTGAGATGAGACTACCGTGCGATCTCGAGTTTGGATGCCGACCTGGAGAAGATGTAGCTGTTGAAGATTATGTGATCCAGTTACGAAGAAGAATGGACGATATGTACGAATTGGTCCACTCGCATCTTCAAATCGCCAGCGACAGAATGAAGAAGCGATACGATACCCAAGCTACAGAAGGATGTTTTAAGGAAGACAACAAAGTCTGGCTCCATAACCCAAAAAGACAAAAGGGTTATTCTCTAAAGTTTTGCTTACACTTTTTCGGATAGCACTGTGGGATCTTTAAATGTTTATCCCATCAATAAAATAATTAACTAAGTTTGAAGATATATTTATAAAAATATAATTGTAAAATGTCTTGACATGTATATAATTGTAAAAATCAAAATGTCGATAATAAGTTTTTGTTTTATCTTCAATATCCTCTCTCCCGGCAGCATATTTACACATCCTCCTATATGACGGCACCGGAGTGCTGAAACCTGTTAGCTTTTGTGGCCTACAATTGCGCAACAAAAGCTCATTGATTTAGACACCCATAAAAATTTTATGTTATGTGATACTTTACTTTTCAATTTTAGCTGTGTCCAAGCCGTTGGCGTCTATGCCGGTAGGCGTAGCCAGGTATGGGTTAAAAATGTTTGGTGGCGGCGAAGCCGCCACCCTACGAGAAGTTGCTTCGTTTTCTTCTTGTATATTTTCTTTTTTTTTTAATCCCCAAAACACTTCAAATGCGTCATTTGAATGACATCATGTGTATTAACGGCATTTTAGTACACGACCGTTTAACGGCAGTTTAAGTACAGCCATTGTTTCATAGAATGCAGATAAGCTTGCTTACTGATTCCAGCAATAAGAGAGGCCTCATGCATTGGTGCCTAAATCAATGAGCTTTTGTAGCGTACTTGTAGGTTACAAAGGCGAACAGATTTCAGCACTCCGGTGCCGTCATATAGGAGAATGTGTAAATATGCCTCCCGGCAACCAGGGATCTACGGTGAAGTGAGCTTAATATTTATCCATCCACGACTGCCACAAAGATTGGAGGTTATAAATTTGCGGAAGGTATGAGTAAGGTGAAAGGTAGTAATTAGTGCGACAGTAGGCACTACAAGCACTAGCTTTGGTGTAGTGTTTTCCCGGATTTTAAGACTTTTTTATTCACTTTGATAATAAGCAAACACATAACTGCCTAGCATAGGCTAAGTTAGCAAATGCCAAATGCTTGCTTTTATTCACACCACCCAATATATGATTCTCCCGTTCATAAGTTAAATCAAAAAACAAAAATCATAAAAAAAAACAAACAAAAAGCAAAAAAACAATAAAATTTCAATTAATTATTACTAAAAATTGTGTATCTACTCGTGTATTAATATTATTAGGAATAAAAATTGTAAAAAACAAAAATACAAAATAGGTTAATGAATTATATCCGAAATCATAAAATCCAACCACACAGGCATACAATAATAATTAGAAACTATTATTTATAATTAAAAGAACAATTAAACATTTTACTTCGTTTTTTACTCACCTAAAAAGTTCCCCGATATGTTAAAGGTACCTCGCATGTTCAGGTTTTTATTTGATATAAGATATTCTTTATCAAGAGATGCCACCTCATCGTTTTCACTATACAGTACGTACTCGGATAGAGGATCACCTATTTAAAAAATAAATTTGTATAGAAAAATGCAAGAAAATGCTATATAATTTAGGAAATCGTTCACCGTATGGTTCAGGCTTAGATAATTGTGATTTGTTTTTATTTTTAATGACAATTAAGAGGTAAACTGTTTATAATATTCAAAAAGATTTCAAACTATGTTAAATACTCATGCACAATGGGCTTAGTGAGGCATAAGTGCCACACGTTACAGATATAGATGTAAAATACTTGATTTACTTTCTAAATGGCTGCATAGTGTATTTATTTTTCCTCTAGTCTATTCTATTTATAAACAAAGTAGAAAGAAAATTGTAGACAGTATACATATGTACCTATTTAAATTAAATAAATCATTCATAACCTTCCTCAATAACAATAATCTATTTGTGTATTCGAGGAAAGTTCAAATGAATCAGTTTTAATATGTACATTTATTTCAAAAACACATCGTACATTTATGTGTATCTCACCTTGAGGATCGATGTTGTATTCTACAACCACAGATTCGTACATTGTCACCGTAGTTGAGTTTGGCTTAAAATTAGTCTTGAAACTTTTGACGATAACTGCATGGCACACAAGAAGAAGTGTTACAAGCAGTATTAAAAACTGCACCAGACCAGAAAACGGACACATCTGAAAAAAAAAAAAGAAATATAAGATACACGTATAATAAAAAATAATAATAGACTATACAGCGATAAATTAATGAACAGATTTTATTAAAAATTCGTAAGAATAGTAAACGGGCGGCTTGTGACCAAAATATTGAGGGTTCACAATGACAGTAGAGATTTAGGTAAAACACTTTTAGCGTTTATATATTTATCTTCCTAAAACACTGAAAGTTTTTTTATCTAAATCTGTTCTGAAATCTATATTCTGTCATTGTGAACCCCCAATACTTTGGTAATAAGCCGCCACTGTAAACAGGTTATGGTCTTTCTATCAGAAATATTTTGACAGTTCTATCATTTCCGCCTATAGCGCAAATAGATGTCAATTTTCTTATTTTAAATTAAGACATGTATCAAAAGATATTAAAAATCCAAATTGGTATGTTGACGTAAAATATAGGTAATTAATTTTTCATATTTAAAAAAATGGCCATTTTTAAATGATTATTCAAAAAAAAAAATGATAATCTCAGTGATAACTAATGTCAATAGCTAACTTTGATAATGGCTATTTTAAGTTTTTAATTAAGCAGAGGTGTTTGCCCTACGAAGTTTTTTCCAACATATTAAAAAAAAATCCACATGAATCCAACTTTATAAAACACACTGTATTATGAAATATAAAAAAATAAGGAACCTATTAAGAAAAATGGTAAATATTGATGTTTTGGTAAAATAAAATTTAAATATTTTTATTTTACCCCGTATAATAAAAAATATTTTAATGTCATTTACTAGTTAATTAAGTCAATGACTACGTTCATCATAAATCAATTAAAAAACTTCAGCCAAAAATAAATATTATTTTAATACTCGAAATGACAATATTTTTTTCGAAAATATTTTATTTTTTATAAATCACCAATTTTAGCTATACACTTTATTATACAATGAGATCCTAAATTTCACGTTCAATCGGAATCCGAAATAAAAATAGGGGTGTCCCATTTAAAATAAGCAAGTTGACAGTTGACATCTATTTTCAGTAAAAACGGAAATAACAGAACTGTCAAAATATTTTAAATTGAAAGACCATAACCGGTTTACCAATTTTTATTGGTACGTCAGATACAGATAGTGTTTTTTTTATATTAAACCATGTAGATTTTCATCAAAGTTATCTCTCTAAAACTGTAGAAAGGCTGGATGATATTAAAATATGTTTCACTTTATAAACTTTTTTTATTCAATAAACTGACATTAATCATTCATTCATATAAAGACAAAAACATACTAGATAAAATAATAAAACATATATGTATAGGATAAAACAGCATTGTATCCAACAAAATGCTCGTCAAAATAATTCAGACACAACAGGTTAGTTCCTGTAGCGGTTTCGGTTTATTTGTGTATCGTTTTTTCTGTATGTATTTGGGTTTGTTTCTGTACCCTGTTTTGGTTTGTTTCTATATTGATTTTGCTCTGTTTCTGTATCGGTTTTGGTTTGTTTATGTATCGGTATTCGGTTTGTTTAAATGTACCAGTTTCGGTTTGTTTACGTTTCAATTTTGGTTTGTTTTTGTATCAGATTTGGTTTATGTAGCAATTTCGATTTGTTTCTGTATCAGTTTTGTTTCTATATCGATTTTGGTTTGTTTCTGTATCGGTTTTTGGTTTATTTCTAAATCGGTTTTGGTTTGTTTCTGTACCGATTTTGGTTTGTTTCTCTATCGATTTTGGTTTTTGTATCGCTTTATTTATGTATCGGTTTTCGGTTTGTTTATATTTACCGGTTTTAGTTTGTTTTCGTTTCGAATTTGGCTTGTTTTTGTATCAGATTTGGTTTGTTTATGTAGCAGTTTCTATTTGTTTCTGTATTAGTTTTGTTTCTATAACAATTTTGGTTTGTTTCTGTATCGGTTTTTGGTTTATTTCTATATCGGTTTTGGTTTGTTTCTGTATCTGTTTAAGTTTGTTTCTGTATCTGTTTAAGTTTGTTTCTGTACTGATTTTGGTTTGTTTCTGTATCGATTTTGGTTTTTGTATAGGTTTATTTATGTATCGGTTTTCGGTTTGTTTATATTTACCGGTTTTAGTTTGTTTTCGTTTCGAATTTGGCTTGTTTTTGTATCAGATTTGGTTTGTTTATGTAGCACTTTCTATTTGTTCCTGTATTAGTTTTGTTTCTATAACAATTTTGGTTTGTTTCTGTATCGGTTTTTGGTTTATTTCTATATCGGTTTTGGTTTGTTTCTGTATCTGTTTAAGTTTGTTTCTGTATCGATTTTGGTCTGTTTCTGTATCGGTTTTGGTTTATTTATGTATCGGTTTTCGGTTTGTCTATATGTACCGGTTTCGGTTTGTTTCTGTATCGATTTTGGTCTGTTTCTGTATCAGTTTTGGTTTATTTATGTATCGGTTTTCGATTTGTTTATATGTACCGGTTTCGGTTTGTTTTTTTTCGAATTTGGCTTGTTTTTGTATCAGATTTGGTTTGTTTGTGTAGCAATTTTTATATCTTTCTGTATCAGTTTTGTTTCTATATTGATTTTGGTTTGTTTCTATATCGGTTTTTAGTTTGTTTCTATATCGCTTTTGGTTTGTTTCTGTATTTATTTAAGTTTGTTTCTGTATTGATTTTAGTTTGTTTCTGTATCGATTTTGGTTTCTGTATCGATTTTGGTCTGTTTCTGTATCGGTTTTGGTTTATTTATGTATCGGTTTTCGGTTTGTTTATATGTACCGGTTTCAGTTTATTTCCGTTTCGAATTTGGCTTGTTTTTGTATCAGATTTGGTTTGTTTATGTAGCAGTTTATATTTGTTTCTGTATCAGTTTTGTTTCTATATCGATTTTGGTTTGTTTATGTATCGGTTTTTGGTTTATTTCTATATCGGTTTTGGTTTGTTTCTGTATCTGTTTGTTTGTTTCTGAATCGATTTTGGTTTGTTTCTGTATCGATTTTGGTCTGTTTCTGTATCGGTTTTGGTGTATTTATGTATCGGTTTTCGGTTTGTTTATATGTACCGGTTTCAGTTTATTTCATTTTCGAATTTGGCTTGTTTTGTATCAGATTTGGTTTGTTTATATAGTAGTTTCTATTTGTTTATGTATCAGTTTTGTTTTTATATCGAATTTGGTTTGTTTCTGTATCGGTTTTTGGTTTATTTCTATATCGGTTTTGGTTTGGTTCTGTATTTATTTAAGTTTGTTTCTGTATCGATTTTGGTTTGTTTCTATATCGATTTTGGTCTGTTTCTGTATCGGTTTTGGTTTACTAATGTATCGGTTTTCGGTTTGTTTATATGTACCGGTTTTGGTTTGTTTCCGTTTCGAATTTGGCTTGTTTTTGTATGATTTGGTTTGTTTATATAGCAGTTTCTATTTGTTTCTATATCAATTTTGGTTTGTTTCTGTATCGGTTTTTGGTTTATTTCTATATCGGTTTTGGTTTTTTTCTATATCTGTTTAAGTTAGTTTCTGTATCGATTTTGGTTTGTTTCTATATCGATTTTGGATTGTTTCTATATCGGTTTTGGTTTGTTTTTGTATCAGTTTTGGTTTGTTTATGTAGCAGTTTCAATTTGTGAATCAGAATAAGAAATTTTAATGGAAAAGTTTGATGAATTTTTATTGATAATGTTACATACAAGAAGTGGTTTTTTGTGGATCGCTGTAACATGGAGACGATTATTAAACCAATTGAAGATTTTATTGAGGAATTTATGCAAGATAAAAACACACTCGTTTATTTCCACTATGCAAAAAGATTTTTTACAATCAGACTAAAACAAATTTAATAATGGGAGAAGCACTTATCACTTGTGATTTTGCCGCCGAAAATTATTGGTTTGTCTTACAGGATGAGGTCCAAAAATACCACTGGACTACCATTCAGGCAACACTTCAACCATTTGTAATATATTACAAAGATGAAAACGATGAAATGAAATATTTGAATTATGTTTACATTTCAGATTGCTTAAACCATAACACAATAGCTTTTCATTTGTTTTTAAAGTATTTAATACCCGAACCGGTTTAAAAAAAAGACAAATCAACAAATGTCAAAAACAACAATCCCTAGTCAACTTGACAAGCAGTGAAATTAATTTAAAATGTGAGGTTGGATTAATATTTTTTTTCCAAATGATGGTGTGAAATTTTCTTACCGAATACCACGCAAGCTTAAATTAATCCTGGAAATTTTCTTTCGGGCGCAAATATTATGGGTAAATTTTCAAAATATTCGTGTCCCTAAGAAAATGTTCGGAAATAATTTAAGCTCTGATATTATAAGTGAAAATTTTGGTAAAGTACTTTTTAAACGGAAATGTTTCTTATGGCTCAAAAATATTTTTGACTGTTATAGTCCATTCTCCCATAAAAATAATGTGTCCTTTTAAAAAACTCACCATGGCTTAAAAAGAAGAACTACAATACTGTTTAAAATACTACAATACCAACAAATGAATCACATCCGAAAGAAAATTATTTTTATACTAATTTCCCACTTATAAAAATCAGTATTTATCTATTGAAAACATAAATATATTTGAATGCATTTATTTCCAAATGGTACACAAATAATAATATTTTCACATGCGGTTCGAAACCGCGAAAGCAAAACATTCGTTGGGAATGGTGTTGAAAAATAAAAGCATAAATATCAAAGAAAATATTTAGTTAAATTAAATATTACGAATTTAGAATCTTTTTAAAGATAAAAGGTCATTGTCGCTTAAATATAAATAAAGGCAAGTAAATACGAAAGAAAAATAATAGTTATTTGTGTACCAAGATAGTTAATCTTTTTTGGGTTAGGCAAAAAAAAATCATGCACATAACATTTTTTAGGCGATAGTCTTATAGAGTACTTAGATCCAACATTTTTGTACATTGTGAGAAGAGGCTTAAATGCAAGAATAGTTTCAAATTTTTATTGAATAAAAAAACCAATTATTAAGTAATAAAATTTATAGAAATAGTTTTTTCAATAAATTTGTTTTCTCTTTAC